CGAAGATGTCTAGACTAAACAACTTCAGAATTCGTCTGTTAGTCGGATGCCATGGGCTAGAAGCAGATGTCTGCCGTTTCACCTCCAGGGACCCAACTTGCAAACTATGCACCTTAGAACCCGAAGACTCAGCGCACTTCATATACCGTTGCCCCGCCCTGTCTCCATTTCGCAACCTATCAATGTTCCTGCCGGACCTACAGTCCTTGTTCTGTTCCGATCCTTCGGCCTTTGTTGGCATAATGCTGGACATCAATTGGATAGATGACCTCCCCCTCCAGCGCTCTACCATCTGTTTCCTGACTGCACTCCGTGACGGCCGCAACTCCCTCTTAACTTCTGCCCACTAAACGGGCTATTCTCCCAGCGTGGAGGTTAAAAAGAAGAAGAAGAAAAGTACCAAGTTTCCTCTACATGCATGCTACCTTTAGCAGTGAGGAGTTAAAAGTGCCTTAGGCTATTGGTTGTTGTTCAACAGTATGTGGTCATCATCGAAATAATACAATACGCATGTCTACAAAGGTTCATCACCTTGCGTGCCACTGATAACAAGTTTCAGAAGTGAGGAAGGAAAAGTGCCTGAGACTATTTGTGTTTGTTTACAAACATGTAGGTAAACATGTACTCGTCATAAAAATTATGTTACACGCATGAGTACCAAGTTTTATGTTGATGCGGGGTACCGTCTGCAAGTTAGAGTGAAAAAGTAACTTTGAAGAAATTTGCCTGAGGGTATTTGTTGCTGTTTACAAATTGTGTTGTTGTGTTTTTGATAGTGGTCACTGAATACATTGTGTATACAAACTTTCATTCGCATAGCTTTTATAATTTGTGAGTTACACTAATACGTACATGTGTCCTCATTATAATTGTTGTTGTTGGTTTACAAACAAGTATGATGTTGCACATGTGGTTTCGAAATGAACATTCTCATCTGTTTTAATTTTTGAGCTATGGTGGTTGAAGAAGATGAACAAATATCGCCCTATACATCTACGATGCTTGGTATCATGCCCATCCCTATCACTGAGTATGATAGTACTTACTGTAAACCCTCATTTTTTTGCCCGCCCTAAAATCGATGCCGAGTAGGAGGTCTTGGATGATGCAATAGTGACCGAGGCGGAGCCAAGGTTACTATTGCATCATCCAAGACCGACTACAATGAGGCAGGTCATAAATTTGGTTATGCATAGGTTACTAAGTGCTAGCGGGTAGTGAACCCTCATTCTATGCATCCATCGTCTAATTGGTTGCTACTTGGTGTTTACCACAGGAGGATATTCCTGGACCACCCAAGAAAGCCAAACGTGAATGTAAGTATCAGAGTGAATAGCGTAACAGTGGCGTTTTGCCTTCGTTCGAATCATGGTGTGCATGTTTCCCAATTAATACAGTTGCCGGGGCAATGGTATTCTGCGGATAATAGATACCGCGATGGACCATTTGCGGTATCTGATTGACATTTGCTATATGTACATTTCAGCAATTGCAGCGCGAACCCTTGGCGCAATGTGTATGTCCCACTGAATTGATGGACCGCAAAGTTTATGGCTAGCTTTACCTTTGGGTAGTGCTCAGGGCAGCACTATTGAAAATAGAAAACCTGCGAATGTGTACCACTCTTAAACCCCATAACGGTTTTGGTTAGTCAGTATCATTACCTTTTAAGCTACAGCTCCTGACATGTTCTTATGGTGAATGTTTAATACTTCGCCCAAGCAATAAAATAGGGCCTTAGTTATGGGGGATGTCAGCCTGCTCAAGTCTGTTTGTTAACTATGCTTCATGTATCCCACCTTTGTCTTGTGTCCCATCCATGCCTCTTCTTTAATTCGCACGATATGTTATTCACTAGTTTCCACTCATTTTGTATACTACTAGGTATATCTCTGTGAGCCTTTTTATTAAGAATGCTTGTTGTTTACAAACATGTGGTCGTCAGAAAATGTAATATGCATGCGTACTTAGGTCATCTCCATGCGTGCTACTGTTAAAAAGTTTAAGGAGTGAAGAAGTAATTTGGCTATTTGCTGTTGTTTGCAAACACATGGAAATGAGCCACCATTTCTGCTTTCATCACATTGGCTTCTTCACTTGCGTTTCATAAGGTAGGGCGGTGTATTCGGAATGGGTTTTGATTCAGAATATGTAGTGTGTTGGCAGCTGTTTCTGCCAGAGCCTCTAGTGACATACATTACTATTAACTGTTACCACAGGTAGGAAAGGGTATACACTGTACTAAACCTTTGCTATGGCTTGTTTTTGTGACACAACCGGCATCGTATTCCGAATCCCACCATTCCAAATTACCTGCCCTTACCCTTACTACCAATGCCATTTTAAACCCTATGCCTTAGTCCTTTTGACATTTTTGCGGCCAAGGTGTTGGAGTAGACTGTATGAGGGCATACTTCACACAGTTGCTGTACACGCACCGTACGTGCCTGTAGGTAGTCACACGTGGCTCTTTGTCCCTAGTAGGGAAAAGCGCCTAATGTGAAGCGCTCACCCTAAAATAGTGAGACGCTGCCACGGTAACTCTCGCGGACCAGGGCCTTTAGCTTTCTACCAATGAACATTGTTACCTGCAAATAGTGTCTAACACTGCACCTGGAATGGTTTGTCAACAAAACCCATCAACACACATGCACACGCGCCCTTTGGACCACTAGGTTAGCTTGCCAATTACTATAAAACACACTAGTTACCTTGTTGGAAGTCTCTTTTTTCTGAGCATTACAGTCTTGACTTTGGTACTTTAGTACAGCAGAACTAAAAATTGGAGGTAACATATATTAAAGGTAGTCATAGTTTGCGTCCATAGTTTACTTCTCATCTATGCAATTGTAAACGAACTACACAGTAACATAGATGAAGATGAACTTTTAACTGTGGATGTGTTTACCAATGATGTCATGGCTTTCTCCTCCAACTCTATGTACCGCTCACCAAAAATACAATCAACAAAACTGATGTGAACCGAGATAATTATTTGTAGCTGCCTGTTCTCATGAGTTACAAGTCTGTGAACATCAAAGTGACACAAGAAACTGAACTGCATAAAAAAAACTTCCCAAACTCGTGAAGCACTGCCTTGATGCTAAAGTGATGGCACTAGGGCTTTTTTTTGGACAGGGCGAGAATTCAGTATGACCAGCCTAGAGCAGTTAATAAGTCAGCGGTTTTGTTTCACATAATAGGACATTAAAAGAATAAATCGTGTGTGTAAAAAAGACCACAGTAGGCATAGTTAGAGTGCCTTTGATGCTAAAGTGATGTCACTAGGGCTTTTTCGGACAGGACGAGAATTTAGTATGACCAAGTCAGCTCTTTTACTGATTTTATGGCACATATACGTAGGACGTTAGAAGAATAAATCATGTGTGTAAAAAAAACCATGCTAGGCATAGTTATAGTGTCAGCACAAGTCTCCTGTAACTTAAATTTATGATACACATTGTTGGCATGTGAGCTAGAGTAGTTAAAATTGTCGCATGCATATAGAACATTATGGTATGTGCGATACCGTGCAATGCCTGCCACATACAAGAAATATATATTAACATTAGCTTGCCAATAATCTTACGGTTAATTCATAATGGCAATTTTTGTGTGCTTGCACAATGAACAATCGTTTCAAGAGCAGATGTGCCAAGGTTGCTGACTAGTGGCTGTTGTTAGGAAACACTGGCTATATGTAGGAAAATCGGGCGAGTGAGCCAGAAGTAGTAAAATGTGTACGTGGTCAGGTTGTTCTTTATTGATCAACCTAATGTTTCCTACACCCCCACCCCAACTTAAATGCATGGTCGTCCACAGGGAATTGTTTTAGGTAGGTCAGCTTCAGTAGGACAGTAGTGTATATTCATGACACCTTGCATGCACTAATATTCTTGACAATAGCAAGGGCTCCCAGACATGACAAACATTATTTCCTGTTGTAGAGTTATGACTGCCCTGTTATCCTATCCAAAACAGAAAGATCTGTTGTTTCCTTCAGATACGATAAATCCAGCTTTCAAATGCGATACACTAGGTCTGACATTTAATTAACCGTTGGCGTGCATGCGCAGCGAGGGTTATGGTAGTTGTTGCGTGTGTCCCTCTGTCAGTCTGTCTGTCTGTCTCTTAGCCGACATCTCAGTTCACGAGCCATGGATCACTCCACAAACAATACCTGAGCGTCAGATAAAGGTCGAAAAATATGTGAGGGTTACTCTGAAACTGCTGCGGTTGAGAGTTACGGCATGAAAAGCAAGTGAACAAGCCAATATGCAAATTAGCACAGGCTTACCTCGACCGGGTCCGTTTGCTCTGTGTATCTTGAAGGCACAAGAAGTCACAACAAAGGGCATGTATCAACCCCTGCATGGTATCTATTGCTATAGCTGGCCCGTGTCAGACTCTCTGCGAGCTACTAGCGGGAAACCACGAGTAAACACATACTAATAGCCCAGCCCATCAATTAGCGGTACCGCGCATGCGCAGTTTGCCGAGGGTTTGCACTTTAGTGCTTTTTCGTTTTGATATGACTCCCACTGCCTGAGTAACGTCAGTACAGGTCGCAATAACAACAAACTGCCAAACCTAGTTGCTCAATGTAGATTTCTTCTTTGAGGTTGCCATTCAGGAATACGGTCACAACAATTATTTGATGGACGAGCATATATTTGTACAGTAAATGAAAACAGAACAGAGAAACGTATCACTCGTGAGTATGTTTTGTTATGGTACTTTTAAGCATACTCCTTTGCCACCAGCTGCCCAATGCCATCCTTGTCACGCTTAGCGTGGAATACCCACTTACATCCAACTTGTTTACGACCACTGGGTAATTCCAAGAGATCCCATGTGTCATTCTCACTGAGTTGCTCTATGCTAATATTTTCCACTCTTTGGTGAAGTGGCTTGCAATTGCTTATTAACCCTCGGCGCGCATGCGCAGCGAGGGTCGCAGCGAGGGTTACGGTACTTGGTTTGTAAGTGTGTCGGTCTGTCCGTCCGTCCGTCTGCTGTTTGTTACCACGTTTTCTACAACTACGCGCAATGAGACAACAAACAGCGATACCAACAGGTTCATCACTACACTGGCTTCATTTTAAAAAAAGGTGATTTTCGTATAACTACTGCGTTCAAAAGTTATGGCGTGAAAAGCAAGTGAACAGCAAATATGCAAATTAGCACAGGCTTACCTCGACCGTGCTCTGTGTATCTTGAAGGCACAAGAAGTCACAACGAAGGGCATGTATCGACTCCCGCATGCTATCTACTACTGTAGCTAGTCCGTGTCGGACTCTCCGCGAGCTATACTAGCGTGGAGACCACCCCAGCCCAGCCCATCAATTAGTGGTACTGCGTGTGCGCAGTTCGCCGAGGGTTTGCACTTTAGTTCTTTTTCATTCTTGCTCATTTTCTTGTTGATTTGACGTTCTTACAACCCTTGTACACCAATCGATTTTGTATCTGACTGCCACACACCAGCTAAGGGTAAAGACGCTCATCTTCCTTTTTGCCTTTTGGAATTCTCTGATTCGACTTCACTTTCTGAGTCAATACTCTCTTCCATAGAATTTTGTTGCTCCACGTTGACTGCTTGGTGACAAAAATCTGTTTCATTGAATGTGATTTTTGATCGTATGAATACTTCAGAAGTTGTTTCACCATATCCTTTAGACTTCATGCTGTATCCAACAGATTGAAGCTTCTCAGCCATCTTGTCTAGCGTTCTTCACTTCAAGTCAGGACTGTGGGAATGCACCATGCAGCCAAGCACTCTGAAATCACTCAAACCTGTTTTCCCCTATACCACTATTCATAGGGCCGGAGTACCTTCAAAGGGTGTTGTGGATGTCTGGTTTTCTCCGTCAGCTTACTAACCAGCATAAGCGAGCATTGATTTGGCCGACTCCTTCAGGCTGTGACTCATTCCCTCAGCAACTCAATTTTGTTAAAGGGGAATAGGGAACTGTTGTATTCCCTTTGTCTTGAGATGGCTTCAAACTTCTGTGAAAAATATTCCCTGTCATTATCAGACCGTATTGTACACCACTATAATATTGTTGTGGCTGCTTCAAACACGTCTAGCACTTCCGGTATGTGTTGCATGAAATAAACACTGCAACATTGTGAGTAGTCATCAATAAAGATAATAAAGTATACCTCCCTCCAGTTCTCTCACTGGGCATTGGTCCACATGCATCACTGTGTGTACACACTGCAGGTTCCTCTTGGAGAGAATCTCTCCCACTGGTTTGAAAGGTGTCTGTTGTATTTTCCTTCAACGCAGCCCTAGCATAAATACAGATCGGGATCTTTACTCTATACACCAGATCATTCGAGACCATTTCCTTAGCTCAGTTTACACAGACAAAATTGAATCGGTTTGGACACCGGCGTCTGAGGTTGGCTTCATTTCCCATCTTCATGGTCACTGCTCCCTTCTTCGTATATATCTCTCTTCCTCCCCTCTCTCCTCACTCAGGTCCAGCGGTGCAGAGGTGTCTAAGAGGACTGGTGGCCTGGTCTGGAGGGTGGTTGATGGTCCAACACCTCATCCAAAAATTGAATATTTTTCGTCCTCTACCTGTCTTTCCTTTATTATCTTTTGCTGCCCTGTACTCCATTTGGAGATTCTTCATTTAGTCACTGCGGTATGCTGCTTCCTCCATCTCTTTTGCAATGTTCTTGTAGACATCCTTCTTTCTCATCAATCTTTCTATTTTAAAAAAAATATTTGTGCTACTTCATTAACTTCCAGTGATGTTGATACCGTTCAGTCTCTTTCCTAGTTTACTGGGCCCATAGCGTGTTGTAAGAGACCCGCTGGCTAGACTTATGAGCAGCAAAAGGGCAGAAAGGAAGCAGTTATGGAGGCCTACCATGTGAGGCATCGCCGGACAGTCGCAGTAGGACTAAGTGTCACTCAGAAAGACTGAAGTGGCTCACGCTACAGCTAAAGACTACTTCTTTTTGCCCTGCTCTAGATACGATTTTGAGCCAAAGAAAACGAGATATCTAGTGCTCAATTCCTGTTATCTTCGCTAACCTCAGCGAATATTGTCACCTTTACTGTGGATATTCTATTCACACCTGTAGCAGGGATATTCTCACCTTCGCACCCTCTCGAGTGCAGTAGCAGATTTAGCAACAACTGTAATAACTAGAATAAAAGAACAATAGAAAGCGTGCCAATACATCATTATGTGGCACACTTAATCTAAGAGTAGTATATACTGCTTCCTCGGCTTCCTTCTTGCCAACAATAGAAAACTTGCCCCACACAAGGCGGTATAGCTAGTTCCTATGTAAAGGTTAACAAACTAGTTATCGCCTGGGTTTTCCCTGTGACCACATACGTTGCAATGTAGAACCCTCGGCATAACGATTTTGCCAACATATCCCACGTGGCATTCGGGTTCAGCCAACAAAAAATACTTGTGGCTGGAGTTTAAACAGAATACACTAAGACAAGGTTTATAGTGGCATCAACTAACCTTGGTCTAGAAACTGAAGATAATTTCTCCTGAACCACTTTATTAAACTGGATCAGAAATTGTGATATGGTGGCAAAAAAATCTTCAGAGTCTGTTCCAACCTTTTCACCAAATTTTGTCTGCAACATGTTAGTGGCATATGAGAGGACTCAATATAAAAATAAGTTAATGTATTATTAGTATACTATTGGCAAGGGCTGGGGGCTGGCATGAAAAATGCTTTCTACATGGCAGACATATCCCCATCCAACAAATTTATGTCTGTAAAGATCTGTCACTTTGAAAATTTCTTCACATGCGCTAAGAACATAGTAACTTTTAACTGATGAGCGAGATTTATTGGCCTTTTACGAGGTAAGGTTAAAAGTTTACCCGCAACTACACGTGACTAACAATGCACACGAGCCCTATGCGCCATTTATGGACAGCACACACTTACAGAAGAACGAGAAACGAAAGAAGAGTTACGTAGAAGTGATCACTTTTACAAAAACTATATGAGGGTGTACTAAGGACTATGCTAGCCGAGCAGTATTTGTTAGCTATTGCCTAGCAACCAAAACAATTTCAGGTCATGGGATGGGTGTGGTAATGATTCAATAGCTAACAAAGTTAATACATTCAGGTGAATATAGGGAATATATATTTTCAGTAGGAAGTGCTTACTTGCATCACCGGTCAATGGCAATATTGAATTACTGACTTGCAATGGTGTGAACCACACGAGAAATTGGAAGCGTGAAAGGCGTAGAATTTCAATTAGGGGGTGATCCCTAAAGTTTATCGCCAAGTTTGGTAGCTCAAAAGTCAGAGGATGCATTTAAAATCTTGCAGAAAGTTGTTGAAAAGAAGTGCTGTATGCTAAGCTCAGTTATGACTATCGCTTACTGAGTGGCACAGATTGTCTAGTAGTAACTTATGGATACACCAGGGCTATGCCAGCTCATCAGTACCCTCTTTTTGAGTCATACTTACCCACCACCAAACATTAACCGTAACACATTTGGATTTGTTTCAAGCAAATGCTTTGTTTCTTCCTTGCGGATGACAGGCTGCTGACTTAGCACAGGGTCATGTGATATTGCGTTAATTGGTTTTAAAGGGAATGTGGCAGTATATAAGGGCTATATTTAGAAACTATTAGTGAAAATGGAAACTTAAACTTAACCAGCCACGGACAGATAAATGTGTCCACAATTTCCATAAGTCCATAACAGTTAAAACACTAGGCACTAATACTTTATACATTAATAATTTCTGCTTATTTAAGCAGATCCTCATGGCGTCCAAAGGATTCCATATTGCATTAAGCAACATTTAGCCCTGAAACATTCCCTTTAAACCTCCTCCGGCTAGAAAAGGTATTGAAACTTTTGTCTAATACTTACCAGCAATTTTGAATAAGTGTTACTCATTTCCTGTGCTCTGGAGTCCAGTACATTTAGTCTTGCACAATACTCTCCAAGAAAGGTCTGTAAAATAAGTTTGTACAATTAGAAAATGTGCCCTTGCATCACAGGGCAAAATATGAAAAGTTTCTTCAGTTCGCAATGTTGCATATTCACATTCTCATTTGATTATATCTTGCAAAAGATTTAGAGGTTCAGCAAAACAAGGACCTGCTGCAGAATGTGGAGGGATTCGTAAATAATAATGACTGCACAGATCGCACGTAATAGTTAATCCTGAAGCGGTACCGGATACACCCGGAGCCATTTACAACACCGTCCGAGGGTGGAGCCCGAGAATGGTACCCAGTAGTGTTGAAGGGTGCCATGGGTTAACCATTTTGTAGCCCAGGAACACAGCAACGTCGTTGTAGGCCGTTCCAGTGAATGTCACACGTTGCCAAATATGCACGCTGTTCCACCACTTGAGCGCGGACTACAGCGGTTGCCTGCGGTCCTCAGGACCGACGCTCGGCCTACGTGATACCTCGGTGGTTGTGTGGGACTACTTCACGGCGTATAAACAGTACGTATATCTGCCACACAGACCATCGTTTTTACTTTCTTCGTCAGTTGGATACTTCAACCCTCTGGTGGATATGAATATCCCTCAGGAAGTGGTCGGGTGCAGTCAGAGTACACCTACGTAGGTGGCACTCTGATTTCTATGGTTTCTTGGCTACAAGTAACGCGGACGTATTCGTGGATGCATGCACGACTTTTATACGATCACAATTTCCTGCTATTAATGAGGCAAAGAAACTTTATTGGCGCACAAAGCGAGCCTACCCAGTTGAGTCAACGGGCCAATTTTTCCATTTCTGGTGATGCCACACATACCGTAATGTTTAAACTCAGCGACAGCCACCAGCAACCAGCATTAATAATTAGTCCATAGCTGATTATAATCCACCAATCACATTTGTTAGTACGAGGTTCATGATTTCTCATATGAACCTCGTGAGCTAACAAACGTTGTAGTCCAACTTCAAACAATCCAGCGCTTGGAATATACGCTGTATATCGAGCTGTGGCTGACCAATATTGGACAGGAAGTCCTTATCACAACATCTAGCGCTAGGTGTAGTGCATATTGTCTGGCTTCCAAAGTTTACACAACAATCCATTTGTACATTAGTAGGATGATGCAGCTGCAATTCACCATTGTCATTGGCTAGTTGGACTATAAATCAGTTAACGTCAGGCGTCTCGGCGTATACAGGATATCCTCCTCGGCTGTTAACTATACCAGCCTTGGGCTCTGCCCTCATCCGGTATAGTCAACAGCCTCGGAGTATATCCTGTACCGCCTCGCCGTCTGTACGTTAACTAACAGAAAACGTGATGTGAAACATTTTTTTCTGTTGATTTCCAACAAGTACAACAGCATTTCATGTAGGAAATGTATCCCGCAAAACATTATCTGTACAGAATATTGATCAAAACAACTGATATCTTGATTTTCTTTCTCCACAAGACAGTTTTCTGTGTCTGCTTTGAGCCGAACTCCCTCCTTGCCATGTACGTAGGTAGCCAGGCAGCTCACGCCCGCCCAAAAACCACCACATGCAAATGAGGAGGTGGGGCTCCGCGAGCGAGTTGTGTGCGACAAAGTTACTAAGCCTGCACCTGAATTCTCCACTCTCGCCTCTCTCTGATTGTGCCTGGTTCGCGCAGGTCTCCTGTCGTGTTTCTTTGGATGAAGGGTCGAAGACAGTCCCGCAGCGGGCGCAGCTACGTAGAGAGGCGGATTAGCGTATCGTAGTGTTCGGCGTTCAATAGTCCCGCTCAAGGTCACGGTCTAGTTATCTCGTGTCTTTCTTGCATCTTTCAAATTCCCTGTGCGCTTGGAAACACGGTAGTGCGAGTATACGGAGCTGATTTGCTCTGCACTAAACATGTTATGTACTCCGCATACTCGGGTTATACCGGATATCAATGAACCCTCGAGCCATCCGCGTATATAGTGCCCTCGCTGCGCTCGGGACACTACAAACATGGAGGCCCTTGGGTTAATTGAAATCCGGTATGTCCTTTGCACGTAGTACATAACTCATATTGAACTGCTCACGCTTGCTCGCCAACATTGCATTCCTCTAGTTATTCCTTGGCATAGTAGAATTCAACCCATCAAGTTAATTAATGTGGTAAGGTTCCTCCGGTATGTTACTTCATAAAAAAAAAGCAAGCACAAAATATCTAACCTCAACTTCTTGTTTCAAGCGCAGCCCAGTTTCCTTCAACATCTTTGGATGCTGTGTAATTTGACTTCCATTGTGCTCAATTTTTTTCAACTCATTCCCCATCACTGCAAGAAGACACCGCATTGATTGCAAGGTTTTAGAAAAGAACAACAAAGGCTCAGGGCCCTCTTTCACAATTATTTAAAAATAAAGAGATTCACCAGTGTATATAAAGATAGGAGAAGACAAGAAAACACAAAGGTAAAGGAGGAAAATAGAGATGGTATAAAAGACACATGGTTTATAATTATAATTGAGAGCACTCAGACACTTCCACTCAGACACTCCCATTGAAAATGTACGGAGGAAGCTTGTAAACTTAAGACTATTACAAGTCTTACAATAAGTCTTACAATAACAGAAACATTAATAGCTAAAAACCTGAAAAAACAAAATTGTAAATGACTGTGCAGTTACATTTGTGATCTATTCAACCCACGCATAGTTACGTGGATAGGTCTCATAGGAATGTACAGTTGTTCACACTTTTGGGCTGATACGCAACATGCAGTAAAAAGTGATTGAAAAAGCCTGGGATGGTGAGGTTGAATTAGAGATCTCGCCCTCACAAAACCAGGTGCTAACGAACTGACCTAGTTGCTGTGTTAACTATATGTACCGTGGCAGCGCTTACGCGCTTACTTTACTCACGCACTATAACGTGTTCCAAATTGAGTGTAATTTAGCCGTAATAAGCAAATGAATTATAATTATAAAACTACGTAGGAAATGGAAACATTTCTAAAATGAAAATTCTTCCCTTACAATAATATACCTTCTATCTCTGCCAGAATACTTGTAACAGAAACTGCAGAATTAGAATGCAATAATGTGGGTGAATACATGCAAAGTGAGCAAGTGGTATACTTAATAGTAGTCTTAGAGTAAAGCTCACTTAATGATCATACATGAGTGGAGACAATTAAATTAAAAATCCTGAGGATTGGGATAGTATAAAAAGAAAGGGAGACAAGATAGGGATGTGATACATGCTAGTCACATATGTGGAATACTTGATAGATAATATTTATGTTAGTATAGGTAATAGAATATATAGACAGTGTATAGGGATTCCAATGAGAACAGATTGTACGCCGTTGGTGGCAAATTTGTTTCTGTTTTAATATGAATATAGATATATGAAGAATATGATATAAACTAATTTGATGCTGGCAAAAATATTTAGTAACACAATGAGGTATATTGATGATTTGCTGACATTGAATAACACATCGTTTAATTCAGCCATTGATGACATATACCAAGAGGAGCTTAAACTAAAAAGAACCTCTGAATCACCAACAACACTGTCATACTTAGATATACATATAACTATAACAAATGGGAAATATTCCACGGCAGCATAATATGATAAACGGGATGATTTTAACTTCAAAATTGTAAATTTTCCATATCTAAGTTCCAATATTCCATCTGGACCAGCATATGGAGTCTATATTTCCCAATTAGTATGTATAGGTAGAATATGTAGTGATTACTCGGATTATACGTTGAGACATTTCAAACTAACGGAGCGACTGATTCATCAAGGATACAGATACTCTGATTTGTGCAGGTCCTTTTATAAGTTTGCTAAAAAGCACACACAAATTATGATTAAATATAGCTGCGGCATACGCAAACATGTGGAAGATGGTATATGTCTGCCAGCAATGGAAAGGTTCCTCAGTCGCCATGTCTCGCATAGATAGAATGTATATTTATAGTCACATATTTATTTTGGATAATCTGTTTTTACCATTTCTATTTCTACCATTTCTACTATTATTTATATTATTCTTACACGCTGTGCGTTATTTAAAGAAATCGACAGAACTATTATTTTTTCTATTTTTCTTACACGTGTATATGCTGTTCGTTATTTAGAGTAATCACACGTTTTTTATGTCTCCGTTATGTCATCGTCATGCGTGAGTTTCAGAGTTTTTATATTTTTCTATGAGTTTATTGGTCCTTCGAAGCTTTCTATTTTTCTACCGGTTGTTGGTTTTATCCTGTAGCTGTCGTTTTTTTGTACATGATTTCTATCTAAACTATGTGTAAGGGAGGTTGGGACACTGGGCGTGTAGGGAGAGTTGGGCCCATAAAAGACTCTTTAACCTACCGCCCCGGTTCTCAAGGCTGGGCAGGTCCTGCCTCTTTCTTTCTGCTTATATGTTATTGTCTGTGTTTTTGTATGCTTGGGTATGTTATTGTCTGTGTTTTGTGTGCTTGGGTGGGGGAGGCTTTTTCTTATATTATTCTTTTAGCTAGTATGCTATAAACATGTTTTTTCATGAAGCATGGTTAATGAAGAGATTTGAGCACGCTGACCCCCCGACCCACCACAGAATCTAGGATATTGTTGCCTGGTGTGCCACTCTTTAACTGTGTTGGTTACTCAGTAACATGACTTTCTCAAGCTATTGGCCCTGACATACTGTAATAGTGAATATTTTCCTAGGCAACAATATAGGGATTCTGTGGTGGAGTCGGGGTGTCAGCGTATTCAAATCTGTTCATTAACCATGCTTCATGTATCCCATCCCTATCTTGTCTCCCTTTCTTTATATACCATACCTATATGCATCTTTATAAATTCGCAGAAATTTTAATTTACTTATACACAAATTGTGTTCCCTTTATAATGTATTGGCAAAACAAGTCTCTTCGCACTACTGACATCTATGTTCCTACAAAATGTCATAACCATACGTTATGATTATTTCTTGAAGAAGAAGATGAATAAAATTCCCTATCATAGCCCCATACGTAATGAGGAAGGGAACCATCAACCTGCCCATTTCTTTATTAACCCTCGGCGCGCATGCGCAGCGAGGGTTACGGTAGTTGGGTCTGTGTGTGTGTGTTAGTTACTCTCCATCTAACTTCTCGAGTGTTCGGTCGTCTAGCGAAGGATACCACCTACTTAACAGGCAATGAAGGTCAGAAGTTCGAACGGTTTTCTCTGAAAACGCTCCGTTGCAAAGCTAGAGCGCTTCCACCCTTGTACGGCTAATGCATAGTCGGTCATTTCTATTGCTGCGGAAAATGCTCATGCGACCGTGTCCGCTTGCTCTGTGTATCTTCAAGGTAGTCACAACGAAGGGTGTGTATCGACTCTCGCATGCTATCTACTACTGTAGCTAGCCCGTGTCAGACTCTCTGCGAGATACTAGTGGGAGACCACGAGTAAACGTATACTAATAGCCCAGCCCATCAATTAGCGGTACCGCTCATGCGCAGTTCGCCGAGGGTTTGCACTTTAGTGCTTTTCATTATACTAAGTACTAGCTACTGTAGTTAGAGATATACCAAGTGTTACTGTACTTATTACTATGGTCTACTTGGCTCTCCTCTCCTGTTCCTTCCAATTTGCCATGGTAGTGTGCATTCAAGCTCTCCGTAATTGAGGTGTGTTTGTGTTGATTGTATTGTTCTTTTGGCAGTATAAACAAGACAAAGGATTGGGTGAGTGGGTACAATTCACCGGTAGTAAAATATAACTGCTAACAGCAGCAGAGAATTGGCGCCTAACTGATTCAGACCCATGGCAACCATGCCTTCAAATTGAAAGATGCGGATGGCAAACGGAGCTTTTAGATCGGTTCTTTTTCGTGAAAAACCAGGTACTCGGTCTTCTAGCAGGTAGCGGCACATGACTGTGGAGACCGAGCTAGCTCTGGCTACAACTCCAGTGAGACAAAGACGCACACGCGAAAAGCGCGCCCGCTTACTTTCGCAGGACAAACCCGCGTGGTCAGCCGACAAGCGTCTCACTATCACTCTGTTAGCTTACCCTCAGTTAGGGGTTCTGGGTCTCGAGCTACACTTTCTATGCAGAGCTGGTTGGCATCTTTCCGAATTTTCTGTGTTGTAGCCACGTTTCTGCGCATGATAATGATGGAATGTGCCTCGGGAGGACTTCTATATGTAGAAGTCCGCTGATCAGTCAGCGGAATACTAAGTGAAATAGTATTCCTCCGATTGACCAATCAGATTTCAAATTGAACTCGCGGAACTCAATAACGAAACGACATGTAGTAATGAAATTTTGCAAGAATGTAGATATCCGTCAACCGAAGAGACTGGTCATACTTATTTCTATGTAAAAAACATTGTTTACTGTAAACAATGAAAAGTAATAAAGTGAAAAAACCCTCGGCGAACTGCGCATGCGCGGTACCGATAATTGATGGGCTGGGCTATTAGTATGCGTTTGTACTCGTAGTCTCCCGAGTAGCTAGCGGAGAGTCTGACACGGGCTAGCTACAGTAGTAGATAGCATGCGGGAGTCGATACACGCCCTTCGTTGTGATTTCTTGTACCTTGAAGATACACAGAGCTTGTTGACTTAGTTTTAGGGTCACACCATAACTTTAGAACGCAGTACTTTTTATGAGAACTGCCATTTTGAACCGGTTGGTGTCGCTTTTTGGCCGGTTTGTTGTGTGTGGTGGCAAAAACGTGGTAACAGACACACAGACCAAGCACAGTAACCCTCACTGCGCATGCGCGCCGAGGGTTAACAACAAATAGCCCAGGCAATACAATCAAATGTGTCAGTGTCACTTGCAAATGGTAAGAGGTATGCGAATGAAACTTTGTATACATACTGTATTCAAACACCAACATCACAACAGTACATATTTGTAAACAACAACAAATAGCCTCAGGCACTTTTCTTTGAATTTATTTATTCACGCCTCAAACTCTCTAATGGTAGCACGCATAAGAGGTGAAACTTGGTAAGCATGGGTATTACATCATTTCCACGACAACTACATGTTTCCATGACAACCACATATTGTTTGAACAATGACAAATCTTTAAAATTACTTAAACTTGGTACGCACGTGTATTACATGGTTTCCATGACAACCCGAAAAACGACAAATAGCCTAAGGCACTTTTCTACTTATTCACTCCGTAGCACACATGGAGATGAAACTTGGTACGCATGCGTATTACATCATTTCCATGACGACCACATTATTTGAACAATGAAAAAATAGCCTCAGGCTTCTTCACTCACACTCATGGAGATGAAACTTGGTATACATACACATGACATCATTTCCATGACGACCACATAACAAAAATGAATAGCTTCAGGTACGCATGCGTATTAAATCATTTCCATGACGACAACAGGCATCTTTCTCTTTTACAAATTTTTTATAGGAGGTTGCCCCCCTTTCAGAGAGATATGTAGTAGTTTATAAAAATGAGTGGAGACACGTAAATTAAAATTCCAAAAAGATGCATATAGGGATGGTATAAAAAGAAAGGGAGACAAGATAGGGATGGGATACATGAAGCATTGTTAATGAACAGATATGAGCACGCTGAAACCCCCGACCCCAATAGACAATCCCTATATTGTTGCCTAGGTGAAGTAATAAACATTCAACTTTACACAATAGTCAGGACTTACAGCTTGAAAATACAAAAAAAGTCATGCCACTGAGTTTATAAACAAGAGTACAAATGGAGTTAACGAGTGGCAGGCTTAGGGAGTAAATAAGTAAATGTGGGGCTATTTTTTGTTGTTTACAATCTTCTTAAAATCAACAAAGAAGGTCGAGTGTGGTAAATACTTCTATGTCTGTTTCAAGATGGAAGGCCAGCTTAAGTTGCTTTTCATACTCCCTCCCCTCTCAGATGACTAGGCTGATCTTTAAGGAATTTTGTTTCAGCACATCTTATACGGTTCCGTACAAAATGGTTTTATGGGACATGTTAATGTACCAGCAATGTCTGCATGTGCAAGCAGTGCTACCTTAACCAGTAACATAAAACAGAAAGGGACCAAGACACACATTTCGGAATAAGTACAAAGTACAATCTGGAAAAAACCAACTTTCAGAAGCCTTGACCACCGAATCCAAACTTGAAGGCATGTGTAGGAGATCTGGCCTTCTTCTATGAATTTGTACCACAAGAAAATCCAGTAATGATGTTTTCTCCTGACCACGAAAGTCTATTAACTATAGCCAGAATATGTTTAACAGTAGTACAAATTCTTATGTACATAAACTTACTTTTGGAAGGTATTTCAGTTGGAATCCGTAAGCATTTCCTTTAGGTGTTCCTGCATTGAGGTAGTTTCCAACAGCCAGCACATATCCTAGTACCTCTAAAAACTCCTCCGACCTATCAAGCTCATGACAGGCTTTCCAAGCTAAATCTAATGTCTAGTAACAGAACCATAGTTCAAGGGTGAACATTAATTAGTGACAAAAATTACATACCGGTTTAAATTCCTCCATGTTTACTGGAAACTCTCGTATAGTAAACAAAAGATCCAGCCGCATTGCTAACATAGGCACTTCAATCAGCTATATAAAACAGATGAAAAGCACTGAAGTTCAAACCCCAGGCGCACTATATACCAACAAACGGCACGAACATAAGCATCCCCTTCCTACATAGATGTACAGGTCAGAACCATTAAATGATGGTCTTGGCTCAACTATCGTGGTGTCTAGTTAGCCTTCTGAGAGTATTTAGCATATAGGCATTGCAAGATGCCCTACTTTTCAACTTCTGGTGCCTCCACGGTTGCAAACAAGTAGAATGCGGTAGAGGCAAGTGAGAGGTTCACATATTCACAATGAAACATTTGAAGGCAGTGTTTTATGAAAATCACCAAATTATATGCTGAATTCGTCACAACACTTTTGGCTGGCTTGTTGCACGTGGTGGCAGAAAATGTAACACAGATAGACAAGCACACACCACTTGTATGAATGAGAAGCATTGAAGTGCAAACCATCGGCGAACTGCACATGCGCGGTACCGCTAATTGATGGACTGTTAGTATGCGTTTACTCGTGTTTTCCTGCTAGTAGCTTGCAGTCTGACATGGCCTCAGTCGGACTGTTTACGCTTGGCTGGCAGGCGTGAGGCAAAATATGCACGTGCGCATTCCTAGTATATTATATGGATGACACAGGTTGTCCTGCGTTATGCCTATACATTTGAGATGCAGTTTAAGTTTAAATCAGATCCCACTTTATCCATATGGTTTTTAAAAAAGTCACAGTTTCAACAAGCATATCAGGTAAGATAAGGAGATGAAACTTTGGACAAAGACCACAGGTCGTGCAAGCACATATCTGCAATCTGCCAATACGTGTCGCGCACGTGTATTATGTGCTGGTGCTACACAGCAGCTGCACGGAGTCCGTTTCTGTATAGTAACTGTTATTGTGATTGTTTGTCATTGGGTTTGGACACTAGGTGTGTGGGGAGAGTTGGCATGCCATAAAACCCACTGCCCCAGTTCTCAAGGCAGGGCACCTGGTGTCCTACCTTGTTGTGTGCAACTGTGTTGTTTGTGTCTGCGTATGTACTTGGGTGGAGGATGGGGGGTGGAGGGTGACTTCTGGTTTTCTTTCTTTTCTATTCTCTGTGGCTAGTATGCTATAAATATACTTTTCATGCTTGCTTCAGTCCTGCAGAAGTTGGATTTTATGAGTCATGTATGTCACAATGTAATTCTACCTAGCGTACACAAGGATGGTTGCGCTTCTTTTCATCCCAGCTTGTGTTTCAACCAAGCACGGCGATCTGTGTGTGGTCTTTTTGGTGGGACTACGCCTCAGCAGTGCATTGGTTGGTAAGTCGAATTGTCACTTTGTAGGGGAAGGGGCGGGAGAGTGTCAGTGATAGCAGGGCTACGGATCGCAGAGAGACTAACCACGATGGAGGCTCAGACCACAACTTTAGTGCAGAAGCCTGGCAACTAGGTCTTCCTGCTTGTTTTGCGCGGTCGAGCACGCACAGTACCTTAACTAATAGTGACGTAATATTGATGCGCATGCACAGCACTAAAAATCTGTAGCGCTTTGCGTTTGAGAGGTTTACAGCGTGAAACACGAGCGAATATGAAAATTACAACTGGCTTACCTCAACAGCATTCCGCCTGTTTGCGTACCGTAGAGCCAACAGAAGTTACCACAGAGGGCGAGTATCGAGTCTAAAACGCGTCAGACTCAGACAGTTGGCTAGAGACCACAACACATTACAGCGTAGCCCAACCTGCGCGCGGTACCGACGCAATGCAGACATCTGCACGCGTCTAGTGCGCCGAGGGTTTTGCACTTGGGTGTGCTTTTCATGTATTTATTGAGATTGTACACTACTGCATATATCTCAATAGTACACTACTATATTTGTGTGCATTCCAAAGAGGGCGAAAGGCATATTTAAAAATACTACGAGCAAAACTAATTCTCCAGAGTAAAAGAGTGTCTGCTGCTACTAGTAAGGACAGGAACAAGGCAGCATATCTAGCCCATGAGAAAAGTGTATGGCAGAAAACGCTATTCACCTATTTATGAGCAAGAGAAAGAAGCAAGAATAGCACGTTACTCCTCCGAAGCGGAGAAAGAGAAGACTGCTCGAAGGCAGCGCTACCAGCAAGAGCATGGTAAAGAGAAGACTGCACGTAGGCAGCGCTACCAGAGTGAGTCTGGTAAAGAGAATACTGAACGTAGGCAGCGCTAGCAGAGTGAGCCTTGTACAGAGAAGACTGCACGAAGGCATAGATACCACAGTAAGGAGAGGATGGCTTGTAGGGAGCACTACTAGGAGGATGATAAAGAAACGCTGCTCATAACCAGCGTTACCATAGTCAATCTGGTACAGAGAGGACTGCTCGTAGGCAGCGCTACCAGAGTGAACCTGGTAAGGAGAGGACTGCTCATAGGCAGCGCTATGAAGCAGACCTGACAAAAGAATTAAAGTAGCGAAAAAAGCACGGAACCAAATTTATTCAGAGCAGAAGAAAGCAGCAGAACGGGATCGATACAAGGTGAAATCAGAAAAATGTGTGGAGCGTTTGTGGTGCGAAATTTACCGCTCAAATATCCAACGCCAAGCCAACTACCACAAACGTACCTCAAAGCTTGTGCGTCGTGCTTCGCAGATGAGAAAGACAGCCAGAGCTAAGCATTCACTGAAAGAGCATAAGTGAGATGTGCAAGCGCTTTATGTGAAGCAGAAGGTAGCTCGCAATGCCTCTCTCAGAAAGAAGCTAGTTCAAGGCTTCAAAAAGAGCCAGAAGGTGCTTAGTGAGAAGCTGAAGCCAAAAAGACTGTCGATGGCTGTGGTCCCTATTGGTGTCCGTCAAGTCCTGAATACAGCCCTGAAACAATGAAAAGCAAATGCTGGTTAATTTGTGGCGCGCATCAGAGTTGTGAATAAGATTCAGCTCACTGAGGATGACTTTGTTGAGCAGTACCACACATTGTCTTCTGACCCTTACTTCTATGACTAGAGTTACACTCAGAGAGAGCGCAAAACTGCCACTCAAATCGACGACAAGGGAAGATGTGTTGTCGCGGAGGAAGTAGGCGAAAGAAGTGAGGTTACAAGCTGACCAAAAAAGCGGAAGTGCACTTCAGAGTGCAAACTTCAAACCGAATAAAGGAAAAAGTTCTCACAGAAGTTTCACGTCATTTTGAAAGGCCAAGTACTAGGTAATGTGGCTTACTACGTCTACAAGAAAGCACCACGCCAGGGGAGCACCACACTACCATATCATCCTGTGGATAGAAGGTGCCCCCGTAGCTGGCAAAGATGACGACGTAGTACTGCAGGAGAGGATCATCATCCCAAGCAACCAAGAGCTGGTCACCAAGTATCAGTACCACAAGCGCAACAACTACTGCCCGGAAGAAAGTGAAGGACTCTTTCATCACTTGCTGTAGATTTGGGTTTCTGAGACAGACACGTGAAACCGCGACTCTACTGTCTGTGGTAGAGTGCATGAAACTTCCCACAGGAATCTTCCACGCTCACCGGAGGACATAAGAATCAACAACAACAACCCTCTCCTCCTCATGCTGTGGAAGGCCAACATGGACTTGCAGTATGTAGGTGAGTCCTCACTGGCCATTGCACAGTGCGTCATGGGCTACGTGACCAAGGCAGAGAGGAGCAACATGCAGGACCTCTCGAGGTCTCTTCTCAATCCACAGCAAGCTGTGGTCATTCGGTGTCCACAGTCTGCGCTCCAGGGAGTGTGGCATGTACGAGGCCAGTGACCTCCTCCTTGGAGACCACTTGTATGCAAACCATCAAGTGGATCGATGTGTCTAACAGGAGGAGGCTGATGAACCACTCCAAGCTGCTGGAAATGCGTTGAGGACAACCTGATATATCCTCAGATACCAGATGATATGGAGGATGTTTGCCTGTACGACTGAGTACAAAAAGTCTGGTGTTGACGATGACGGCAACCCAGTGTACAGCATTCTCACCAAACCCATCCTCCAAAATCAAAGAATGTATGACCCCAGCAAGGAGAATGAGCGAGAAAACTACTCTCTCCTGCTGCTGTTTGTACCCATTTTGCAACGAGGCAGACCTCATTGAAGAGGGATAAGCTACAGAGACTGCGTTCAATCGCCACATGGCCGAAAGCGATTCATTCAACACACTCGGATAAGGTTCAGACGATGCTGAAAGCCAGAGAGAGCATGAAGAGACAGGAAGAGGACACCACACACTCCAAGCCATTGGAGAATGATGACAAGGACAGTCCTCAGGTGGCAGGTGAAGTAACGTCAGCTATGGATGACTTGCTGGACCTCCAGCAGAATGAGAGTGACAGACCTAACGTGGAGGAGCTAGTATCGTCACTCAATGCAGACCAGTCACCTGTGGTAAAAAACACCTCGAGCACCCGGTCTTACACAAGTGTAGCTGGTGCCAGTGCAAGGACTTGAAACCACTGCACATGTTTGTCAGTGGTGTCGCACTGGAAAATCGTTCCTCATCAGAACTGTTCGTGCACTTGTGTCCAGACTGTGGGATTGCACGGCGGACTCCACAGTGTGCGCAGTCACTGCACCGACAGGACTTGCAGCCTTCAATGTGGGTGGAGTCACCATCCACCGGCTCCTTCAACTGCCCATAGAGAATGAAGGTAGAGCAGCCAGCTACTGGAGACTAGGCAAGGAGGCACTGAAGGTGATGCGTGCCTCTCTCCCAGCTTTGACTGTTGATCATAGACAAAGTCTCCATCGTGCAGTCTGAACCTCGCATACATTCACCTCTGTCTCGACGAAATCTTTGCCCGAGACCAGTGCTTTGGTGGAGTCAACCTCCTGTTTGTACATTCTGCAACTCCCACCAGTTAACGGAGCACTGGTGTTTGAACGCAACTATAACAAGTCATCTGGCAGGACATAACAAGTTGACCATCAACGAACGCCAGAAGAGAGACCAGGCGTTCAGCTCCATGCTGGACGAAGTGCGATGGGAATGCCCATCACAGAAAACGGTTGAAGCTCTCAAAGGCAGAGTCGAGGAGCTGATGGCCTCGGGTCAGTCTGCCCTTTCCCAAGACGTCAGGCGTGTCACAACTTCAACTCAGCAGGGCTCAGAGGTGAAGGAGACTCCGTGTGCCAACAACGTAGAGGAAAGTGGAGCAAGAAAGCCACTCAGGCAATGGAGAACCTTAAGAGCGAATGCAACCTGACAGGTGGCAGTCGGAGCTGGTGTCATGCTCTGCAGGAAGAGTGACACCAGAAGCTGGTGAACAGCATTGGGTACTGTGATCTCAATTAAAGCTTACCACATCACAGTGCAGTTTGACGCCTTACCCTGTCGAGAGGGTAAAGGGCAGGTTTGTAGTGCTGAAGAATGTGTTTGTTCAGTTCCAACTCATCCTGGAATTTGCCGTCAATGTGCACAAGTGGCAGGGTCTGTGTGCCATCGTGGACCTGTCCAAGCTAGTGTTTTGTGCATACGTGTCACGTGTGAGACAAAAGCAGAACTTGCACTTGAATGCATTTGATGAAGAGGCAGTGCCAAGTGCCTGCAGGAGATCAATCGGTCGAGGGAGACATACCGTCCAGACCTTCCACAGTACTCTGGAGAAGAAAGGCACTGCACAGAACCAAAAACGCAAGATGAGTGGCAGTCTACTAGATTTTCCAAAGGTGACAGAAGGTGGCACAGATGTCTTGACAGATGGTAAGTTGGTGACTGAACAAAAAAAACACCTTCTTTATGTAGACAGTATAAAAGCAGTCATTTTTAGTAGTACATCTTGTCGGGCAAGTCCTTTCTTCTTTAAGGTGGAATTCATATTCCTTTCTAATGATGGGGATGGATCCTTCTTCAATTTGCCATAAATAATGGTATCACTCAACATTTCTTGCAACTGTCAATTTGGACTGTGGACCTCCTTGTATCCGCTGGTAAGACCAATAAATCCTTCTCACTCTGCAACTCACTTTTGCTTGACCTGTTGTAAGATTCAAGACACTGTATCAACAAAACCCCCGATTTCTTAACCCGGGCCTCTTATTTACTCACAGGGCATGTGACTTTCGACAGAGCTGTCTCAATGACGGAGGTAATCTCAGAAGTTGGAACATTGCGTGGGCCTGGACCATACGTTAACAACCCATTCTCCTGATCTTGAGATAGAGACTTGATGACAAATTGATAACCGAACGTGTAGTAGGAATCAAGTCATCAACCCCTTGTAACCTTCCCAGCAACGAGTCAAATTTCTTCCTTTGTCTGCACTTAGTCTTTGCCGCTTAAGATTCGCCCTTATTGTGTGGGCGTCGATATTTTATCAATAGCATGGCTAAAACGCTCGTGAATTATAGTGAATTTTGGGTACCTGTCTCGGAATTTTCACTCCTTGTTTTACAAGCTCATTAGCAGATTCATATTACTCCTCAATACATTCTCTATGGTAGAGAAAACCAGTGCGCGACTTCACTGGGAGCGATCGGTCCATCTCCACTATGCGCAGTGGTTTTCTCCGCCTCCTATGGTACGCGGAGGCGTCTTAGAGCCTATTCGAAAAAATGGGCGTAGCCCCTGCATGGTAAAGTTCAACGAATACGTAATACTCAAAACGTGGCCACACCCATTTTTGAAACTGGCTTCAATATGCCTGCGCGTATCGTAGGAGGCGGAAAGAACGCTACTGCGCATAATGGCGATGAACCGTTCGCTCCCGGTGAAGTCACGCACTGGTTTTCTCTCCCATAGAGAATGTATGGAGGAGGAATATGAATATGCTAATGAGCTTGTAAAACAAGGAGCGAAAAATCCGAGACAGGTACCAAAATTCACTATAATTCTCGAGCGTTTTAGCCATGCTATAGAAAAAAAATAAAATATCGACGCCCACGCAATAAGGGCGAATCTTAATGAGATTTCACTCTCCACTGAGGGATACCAGAGTCTCAAAACCCTGACTCTCTAAAACAAACTTAAGCTGTCTCCTTTGAGAGAGCTAGGCTAGAGAACAGCAAGCATGTCCGGTATCCTTCAAACTCCAAGCCACACAGGCCTCTACAGTTAAGTAGTAGTAGAAGTTTTTATGTACATACCTAATAAGTAACCAGCAAATACATACTCACAACAGATTGCTGGTGCAGCTTAGAACATTAGTGTCACGTTACTCTCAAGTAATGGGCTCTAAACCAATAGGTATAGAATGTGCCCCATGTCAGCGGTTTAAACAGGCCGAAACATGTGGTACATTTATGAAAGCTGAGGAACTCCCCTGATGACCAGTGAAAGTAGTATCATAGTGTGCCGCAACAATAGCATTGCTCGAGTGCACTTTTGATGCAAGGGTCAGTGTGGTAGCTACAAAAAAAATAATCATAAAGTGGTGCTGTTGGTCACCTAGGGGGTCTGGGGGCCTGCTCCCCCAGAGCATTTAGACTCTCAGAGATTGAATCTGTGCGAATTTGAGGCAAATGTGTTAACATGTTCAAAACACAATGCTCTGTCCAACCTTATCACGTGTGGTTCAGTTGTGAAAATAGCTTACGTAAACTAATTATTCGAGTGCTCCTGCACACAGCGACGGGCTGTTGCAATAGAGTGGTGAGTGTAACTATAGCGCGGTGCTGCACCACTCTTCTGCGCTCTGACGAGTACCCTGCAGGGTGCTGTAGTTGCCATAGTGTAGCCACGAGTGGACAAATTGGAGTTATCACTCCCCTTGAAACACTGTAACCCTCGCTGCGAACGTACGCAAAGAGTAATGACACCCAGCTATTTGGCTGGAATATCTCCATGCAAATTATTATACCTTGAGCAAAAATGTGTCAGCAAGAGGAAGTTCGGCCTTTTCCCCAGTATATTTTTTGTACATTTCTTTATCCTCTTGAGTTGGTTGAAACCTATTGATATCGAACAAGTAAAAACATAGTTAGTCTTGAGACATTGGCGTAAGAAGGGGGTATGAGAAAGATAAAAGTATGTAAGTGTTTAGTGACTGGGCTACTGGTTAACTTGGCATACAGGTTTGTTCGGTCAGTTTCTTCTTAGGATTGACGTTGGTTTGCCTGCTTTTTTCTTACCCCGAGTAATATTATTATACATGAAGTATTGAGTATTTTACTGTAAAAAAATAAAAATACTCAATACTTCCCGTATAGTACTCGGGCTAAGAAAGGGCTAAAAAGCAGGCAAATCAAGGTTGCCACCAAACTCAAATAAACAACATTAATGCAGGTCCAAACTGAGCAGCTCATAATGATTACCTCCATTCGTGGCACTACATGCCACAAACTCTAAAGCTACAGCCAGTCGCTGGGGGAAGGTCTTCATTTTAGGTTGTTAGCATTGTAGAGAGCTCCGAAGAAGCATCCGATATAGCGAGTTCTCTGCGACAGAGTGAGTTTCTCTGCGCAGAAGCTTGCTACACTTCCATCCAAGACACCATTCTTTGGCGGGCGTCTCCGTGGAAACACACACTTGGAAAATACGGGATTTAGAATCCACGTTTTACTCAATCTGATTGGTCAATTTCAATCTGCCGACGTCTAAAACTTTGTACACATGTACAACCCATCATTAGTAACAAAAAACAAACAGCATCAGGAAACAAAAACTTGTAAGCTGTGTTTGTGACTATAAATTGCTCATAGTGGGTCCTCTGGTAAACTGATATACTATGAGTAGGGTAAAAACAAGCTTCTAAACAACAACATAGTCTCAGGGAGTAAAAACTTGTAAACGGTGTTTGTGCCTTTAACTTGCTTATGGTGGGTCCTCCAACAATGACACCTGGTACTGTACCATGATGAAAGTGAAACAGAAATTTTACAAGTTTTTAAACAACAACAAACAGCCTCGGGCAATAAAACTTGTGAACTATGTTTGTGCCTATAACTTGTTTGTGGTGGGTCCTCTAACAAAAAAACTTCAAACTTACTGACTTACCCTGATAAGAGTACATCAAAACAGAAATTACAAATTTGTAAACAATAAAACAGCCGCAGCCAATAAAAATTGTAAACTGTTTGTGCGTATACCTTGCTTATGCTAGGTCCTCTAACAATGAAACATGATAAACTTATGTACTTCTGTGAAAAAACGCGTGAATGACTACAAACAGTCTGAGGCAATAGGCCCTCAGTGCTACTTTATATATGGGCATTATACCCCAAAATATATATTGCACAAAATGCATGTGAATGAAAAAAGAAAAGGAGACCAGTAAATATAAAATTCAAAGAAGGTTTGGAGTATAGGGATGCCGTAAAAAGCAGAGCACACAAGACAGGGATGACCCAGTGAATGTGATGCAGTAATAGATTGGACGATGGTTACATCTTAATACTGAGATTGTGTGGATTTTCCTCCACACAAGCCCTATATCTCAGCACAGACAAGTTTGCCCCCTGTGTAGGTATGCTACATATAAACATGTTTTTCATGTAACGCTAGAACAACCTGGTTGGATGAGTGCCCATATTGGCCTCATTAACCCTCGGCGCCGCCGAGGGTTAATTATGGAGGTATGCAAACACAGCCGTTGGCATGCAGGCCTTTATAAGTATTCCTCCAAAACTGGGTATTTTGCACTACAATCGCAGAATTGCTGTTGCAGCAGGACTAAAAATTTCTCCTACTACTAAAATGTCCACAGAACAAATCAAATGATTGTAACATTACATGATTACCATTGCATACAAGAAACCTGTAATAGGTGAAAAGCGGCTGAAAACAAACTGCATGGCTAAATCACTACTTTTGTATGAGGCCTTTCACCAATAGTAAATTATTATGTGTATCACATAATTACCACTACACTCACAATGTAATTTTTAGACACCACTATGCTGTTCCCCAAAGATACGTACCTCTTCAGTGCTACTATGTGCTCAAGATTCAATTTGGTTGCACCATTAATAATATTTAGCTGCTCCTCCAACTCCATAGTTAGTGTCTGTACCCCAAGTGGAAACCTGGGCAGGAAGATCTCGATGTTTCTACTCCGTGTATTATCAAGAAGTGATTTTACAGCTTCTTTTTTACCTGAGAAGACAAAAATTTAACCAGCATTACTGTCTCCATTCATGATATCACTCAGTGCAGTAAGGAAGGAGTTAAGTATAAACCCTTGGCACCAAACGCACGCAAGTGTAAGTATTGCACCCATACGCATGCGCAGGTCTGAACCATTGAGCTGGGATACACTATTGCATAGTCTTGTGCCAAGACGCTCCACTCACTGTGTAAAAGAGTGTACAGTAACTTTGCGATTTTCAGCTCTGATATTAACTTCACCAATAAGACTGCAGGATTTGCACAATCAAGCAAGGCATGTTAGTCTCGTGCGAATAAAATTAAAGCGATGAATTCGCTTACAGAAGCATATTCTCAGGATATCTGTTTCCCATCGCATCAACCCAGTTGCATATGCGTAAAAAAAGTCTGCACTTGGAAGAGAAATTTCTGTTTTGGAGGGTCACAAAGGTTCAGTCATCTCTTATTTCACGTCTACCCTTGTGACTGGCTACTGCAGGTTTGGAGGTATTCAGAAGCGATTGTGGGACGAACTATCTAGCCTACATGCAGCGAAGAAGATATGGTACTTAATAAAATAAAAGCACTAAGGTGCAAACCGTCGGCGAACTGCGCATGCGTGGTACCGCTAATTGATGGGCTGGGCCTATTAGTATGCGTTTACTCGTCTCCTGCTAGTACGTACCTCGCGGAGAGTGATATGGGCTAGCTACAGTAGTAGAGAGAATGCGGGAGTCGATACACGCCCTTCGTTGTGGCTTCTTGTGCCTCCGAGGTACACAGAGCAAGCGGATCAGGTGGAGGTAAGTTTATAAGCAGTAATTGCAGCTGCCAAGTGCGATAATTGCATTCCACATAAACTGAGAATTTTAAACAGCGGGGCGTTAAGGACCAGGAAAATACGCTCCTTTTCCTGGTGGGTGGAGCGTCTTGGAACAAAAACTAGGTCTCGCGCTAACTTCTGTGGGTCTGACATATAGTTTTGGTACCAGCCCCTCTCAGAAGGGAGAGGGGCTGGCACCGAGACTAACTGACACAGACAAGCTAGACTAGTAGATACGCAGCGTTATAAAGTGCACTGCGACGCGAAACTCCCTCTCCTGATGCCTCCACGATAGGCAAACCGGCAGAATATCGAGGAAGAGGAATGTAGCAATCATCGATCCTTGACCCCACCACAATCTTTCTATTGTTGGCTAGGTGAAGTATAAAAAGAAGGGCCTATAGCTTAATACCATTACTAACAGAGTGGAAAAGTGTTATTATACTGACTAACCATAAAAATTGAGTTTAGGGAACATCATGCAACAATAAAGGGATTGCTCGATGGGATCGGTGGTGTCAGCCATGGTCAGGCACCGAAGAGTGCAGCGAATGCCGCCGAATAGATGTGAGTTCTCCCGCTAGGTAGATCAATCTAGGATCTAGGCAGCATGTAAAAATTTCAAAATCATATTGAAAGAAAAGAAGCACATAATCCCAACAGGGTACAGTGAATGTGATTGTTATACATCTTGTAGGGCGCACGTGATGCTGATTACTACCCCCTTTAACCCTTCGGACGCCATGGGTATCTTCTTAAACCAGCAGAAAATTTTATGTATAAAGCCTTAGCGCTGATAACCCCATATACCCCCATAATATACTCATGATATACCCCATTCTTGTAGTCGGAAGCCTTATAACATCAAAGGAAAGAGTACTACTAGATAGTGCTGTTGCAAGCTATGAGTTATGATAACATTGAAAATGCCTGTTGTCGTCATGGAAATGATATGCATACCATGTTTCATCTCCATGTGTGCACGTTTGAGGAGTGAAGAAATAATTTTAAAGAAAAGTGCCGGAGGCTATTTGTTGTTGTGGTCGTCATGGAAATGATGTAATACACATGCGCACCAAGATTTTCCTCCATGTGTGCTACAGTTAGCAAGTTTGAGGAGTGAAGAAGTAATTTTAAGAGGCTATTTGTTATTCTTGTGGTCGTCATGGAAACGATGTAATACACATGCACACCAAGTTTCACCTCCATGCGTGCTACAGTAAGCAAGTTTGAGGAGTGAAGAAGTAATTTTAAAGAAAAGTGCCTGAGGCTATTTGTTGTTGTGGTCATCATGGAAATGATGCTACACGCATGCGTACCAAGTTTCATCTCCATGCGTGGTACCGTTAGCGAGTTTCAGGAGTGAAGAAGTAATTTTTAAGAAAAGTGCCTGAGGCTATTTGTTGTTGTTCGAACGAAGTGGTTGTCATGGAAATGATGCTACGCGCATGCGTACCAAGTTTCATCTCCATGCGTGGTGCCGTTAGCGAATTTGAGGAGTGAAGAAGTAATTTTTAAGAAAAGTGCCTGAGGCTATTTGTTGTTGTGGTCGTCATGGAAACGATGTAATACACATGCGCACAGTTTCACCTCCATGCGTGCTACAATTAGCAAGTTTGAGGAGTGAAGAAATAATTTAAAGATAATTGCCTGAGGCCTTTTCGAACAATATGCGGTCGTCATGGAAACATGTAATCGTCATGGAAATGATATAATAGGCATACGCACCAAGTTTCATCTCCACAGTTAGCAAGTTTGTCGAGTGAAGAAGTATCACTTTAAAAAAGTGCCTGAGGCTATTTGTTGCTATTTACAAACCTGTGTTGTTGTGATTTTGATGTTGGCTATTGAATTCATTATGTATACAAACTTTGCTCTTACCAATTGTGAGTTACACCGACACATATAGTATGCCCATTAAAAAGTATTGCTTTTGTTGTTGTTTACAGTAAACAGCATTGTTTACAAACAAAAAAGTATGACGTTGCCCATGTGGTTATCAATATGTACATTCCTACAAAATTTCATGGCTTTATCTCTTTCGGGTTATGCTGGTTGAACAGGAAGAAGAAGAAGAAGAAGAAGAAGATGAACAAAACTCCTTATCATAGCCCCATACATCTATGATGGTATAAGTACTACCGTACTTAGTGATAAAATTGGTACGGATACACATTACATGAAAAGCACTGAAGTGCAAACCCTCGGCGGATTGTGACGCGCACACGTAAGTAAATGCATGCGCCATACCACTAATTGATGGGCTGGGTTTATGTTACTCGTGTGGTCTCTTGCCAGCTCGCGCAGAGTCTGACGCGGGCTAACTATACTACTAGATAGCATGCGAAAGGCGATACACGCCCTGCGTTGCATCTTCTGGTGCCCCTGAGGTACGCAGAGCACGCGGATCGATCAGACCGTGGTGAGCTACCCCGTCCGCGGCGTATTTGCATATTGCCTTTTTCGCGCTCTAGCTTTGCAACAGAGCAGTTTCAGAGAAAACCGTGTATCCTTTGTGAGATTAACAAACACCCGTGAAGTGAGATGTAGAGTAACAGACAGACAGACCCAACTAGCTACGCATGCGCGCCGAGGGTAATTACGACCACATATTGTTTGACAGAGACAAAGAGCCTCAGGCACTTTTCACCCCTCAAATGTAACGGTAGCATGCATGGAGATCAAACTTGCCATGCATGTGTACTACATACCTACATAATTGTAAACAACAAGATATAGCTTCAATTTTCTTTAAATTACTTTCTAAACTTTCTAACAGTAGCAGGCACGAAGATGACACTTGGTACGCATACCATTTTAAAAACAACAGGCATTTTCTCTATTCTAAATTTTTCTTATAGAGGGCTTGTGAACTTTAGTATATAAAAATGAGTGGAGACAAGTAAATAAAAATCGGGGTGTCAGCATGCCAAAATCTGCATGTTGACCATGCTTTATGTATAAATCCAATCCCTATCTTGTCTTTCATTCTTTATACCATCCCTATGATAAAAGTGCCTGAAGCTATTAAGAAAAATGTTTCTCCATGTGTGGTACTGTTAGGAAGTTTGAGGATTGAACAAGTAATTTTTTAAAGAAAATGGGCAGAAGCTTGTAGCCAACGTTCATGACGTATACATATTATATATAATTATGCTTATGCATAACTATTCGTTTGGTGCTTCAAAACATGCAAAAAACATTTGCCGCTAGCTGTTGGTATTGTATGTAGGTAACACATGAATGCAGAGCATTTTCCACGCTAACGCCTGCCAATGTCCCACTAGAGAGCAAAAGTTCCTGATTTTGAACATTTTTTTGTGCGAAATGGGGTAACTTGACACACAACGTGGACAAGTGGGATAAATCAAGGATTTGGAAGTCGGTTGGGGAGAAATTGGGTTGATGTGTCAATATTGGGACTTTCTCGGCCACCTTTGGTCAGTCGGTTGGCATATATGTGAACAGCAATAACCTATAGGTGGTTTTAGCCTGTAAGAAAATGGTATGTCAAGAATGCTTTGAAAATGAATAGCTAATGAGGTTCATTTTGGGCTAAGACACCTACACGCAGGTCTCTTAGGTGGCTTAGTTCTAACTAAGACCCTCCCGTTTACAGTATGCGCAGACCGGGGCGTCCAGAAGCGACGATCACGAGCTGAGACTGCTCAGACCTCGCCCTGACTCGAACAGTTGCGATGCTGCTAATAACAGTGATTCTCAGTCATCGTTGACGAAGTCTTAGACAGTGCCCAGTGTGGAATCGGGAGGCCTCTCCCCTGCCGGGCTACCGTCGAAAAGTTGAGGCGCCGCCGCTAATAGTCAGTACTTACCAGCATCGGTGCTTTCTTCAAAGAGCTGCTACCAACCAAGGTTGAAAGCGGACGAGCTACAGCCAACCGTACGGCTATCCATTTTCTTAACAACTAAGACGGCAAATTCTAGTGCCTTCATGGTTCTGCAGCCCGCGTGGTCGGTTGGAATGAAGCAATAGAAACCTCGGCTCCGCCTCGGTTACTATTGCACATTCCAACCTCCCACGCGGGCTTTAGAACCACGAAGACACTCGAATCTGCCGTCTTACCTATACTAAGCTGCTGATGCTGTGTCCTTTAACAATAAAAAGCACTACTAAAGGATAGAGAGGGGTATGGTTGTGGTAGAAGAGATACAGTGGTGCTATACAACTAGAGGCAAGCTATTCCATACATGAAAACAACAAAACAAGGTCTGGGTAAGACAATCCTAGAATGTTGTTCCCATATGCAAAACATGTATGTAAACAGCCTGCTTCATTTACCATCCCTTCTTTGTCTCCTTTCTTATCCTCCATTTATGTACAGTTTCAGTTTTTATTTTCTGTGTCTGAGATTACATACATTGCGAAATTATGCACAATCATCTCACAGTTACGAAAATGGCCAGGTTCCCCAATATAATGCCGGAAAGTTCTTTTGAGTACATTGGAGTTGCCCCCCCTCCACATACATACATTTGAATATCATCATCATCTTCTTCTACTTCAGTAAACCCGCTATTAGCTGAAGCACTGATTTTCCCACTAAATGTCTCTACAGTCGATGGAGGTGTGCACGGACATCAAGCGATCGTTTTTCTCCCACCATGTATCTCTACGGTAAATTGTGGGGGCTCTTCACCGTAGATACTGAACTACGCCATTTGCTGCCAGCTCAGCATGCACGGTGTATGGGGGAGGTGTCTGTGTGCGCGTGGTGCAGTGAAAAGTTGCAGCACAACTACATCTCCTTTTTGTTGGGGCTTTGCCCCAAATTGAAAAATGAGTGGAACAAGCGGAAAAGTCATTTCTATGAAATGAAAGGGGATGTACGTAGGGATGTCATATCATGAAAAAGAAAAGTAACAAGAAGTTGCCTACACAAAGACAGAGAGTCATTCATAACCCCATCCCTACATCTGTTTCTTTCAAGATCAGCAGTTCATGTACACCTACAAGCATTCATGACTAGCAAATCATTTCTGAGCAAAACAAAGATGTAGGGATGGGGTTATGAAAGAATCTCTGTCATGGTGTAAGCATCTTCTTTTTATTTTTATTTTTCATGATGTGACATCCCTACATTCCCTTTCATTCCACAGAAATGATTTTTTCCTACTTTTAGTTATAACAATTGCACTGTACTGTATACCAATGTAAAACAATGACTTATAAAATGGCCCATAACTCCTGAACAAAACACTCATGCTTTTCTTTGCGTCAAAAGTACTAAGAAAAGGTAAGGAAAATATCTAGACAACTACGTACATCTAGCGCCACTTATGCATGGAAGAAACACCATGAAATTACTGTGTACATTGTAAGGATAAAGTTTGGTACCAATATTTGGCCTTTTAATTTCCTGGGTCTCAGCAGAGAAAACCTTTTCTAGTTCAGCATAGTCAATGTCTTCAGCAACCTCTTTTGTAGCCACATCCATCCACACAGACGATTGAACCTAGACATTAAAGAACAAAATAATCAACCGCTCACATATATTAAAAAAATAGCATCCTATGGTTTCTTACATGTATATGTCAGATACGAATATACACTGGTGGGTCCTGCTTTTTTTAACACATGCTCTGGTAAAGCGTGGATGGGTGATAATTTTAAACTGCACGGCTGGAATGGAATTTTGGTATTTTTTAAAGGCTTATTGCATTCCTGCTCCATACATTGTAAATGGGGAGGATAACCAGTGTGAAAACGTTCATTCACACATGCTTTACTGCGGTGTTTTCAAAGACCAGGCGGAAGTAACTTTTCTACAGTTATAGAGGTTACTTTCATAACTATATATATCTTACAGCAGTTGGCGCAATTAGATTCCAGTGAAACCGTTTCATCTTTCTGGTAGGTCTGCGTTCTGACCCTACAAAAATTGTCACAAAAGTGCTGTTTAAAAGGAGTAACTTCTTTCCTTCCCCAAGCCCCACCATCGACGAACGAGAGGGCATTTATCCACTCCTAGCATGTGTGATTTAATTTCGTGATGCATGCAAAGGGACGAGAGATATCTACACGGGTGTACTTTGCAGTTCATATGAACCTTAAAGCCTATAGAGCATCATGGACAACTGTTAGACAAAGACTGTTATCACTTGGAGCTAATGTGCTCCAAACCATGCTCGTGACAGCACCCAGCATCATGTTCATCACAGCTTGATAAGCCAGAGTGCTAAGAGTGGGAGTACAACAATTTATGTACCTTATGTGCAACCACCTCCACTCAAATGTTTGCCCGTCACAAACAGCAACGGTTTTCTACAAAAGAAACTTGCCAACGACAAGGGCAACCTAACTCACACTGCTCCTAACACACGTATGCAAAGCTTTTGAATTCTGATAATGGCAACACATAAGGACAAACTTGAAGAGTTCCAACTGAGTTACAGACATTCCATGGCAGCAAAAAATTCCTGCATGTCAGGTACCAACTGTACAAATAATATTCGCTTACATATTGGAAAATTCATTCCTGGGACAGGTGGTGGGGGAGGGACTCCAGGAGGAAGAGGGGGTGGGGGTACTTCAGAGAGTGAGGGTAGAGGAGGTGGAGGTGGTACAGGAGGTAGGGATACTCCAGGAGAAAGTAGGGGTTGGGGTATTTCAGAGTGTACAGGAGGTCGGGGTATTCCCGGAGACAGTGGTGTGGAGGGTATACAACATGGTTGGGGAGGTAGAATAGGTTGCTCTGCTTTAGATGAAGGCAGAGAAAGTGAGTCTAACACGGTTTGCGAAACAGGCGAAGAAGGCGCCGTCTCTTCATTACCAAAACTTGATTTTGGATTAGTAGTGATTCCTTTGTCACAAAACCTGCCATCTTTGTCTTCTTCCTAGAATGAAGACAAACACAGTCAGATCTAGCTAACCCTGTCAGTCTAAACAGGTGTGTTAACGTTGGTGAAATGAGCAGGAGCAGAAAAAGTTTGCATCATGAAAAAACAAGTGCAACTGAGTAAACTTTGAATTTTTTGTTGGCCTCATTTTTTCGAACGTACGTAGGTCCATTATCCTGCTATACCAAGATCGCACTGCTGCTCCCGGTTGAGAACTGAACAATCATTCGTTCTAAAACTCATCATCATACGTAGCTAAACTCTAATCATTGTTACTATTTATCACATTGAAGACAAGGTCTTGACTGGCAGTATGCTCGCTCATTGTTGTATCACGTCACTCACGCATCATGCATTTCAGTTTTCTGCACGTAAACCTAGAGAGAGAGAGAGTAAGAGATTTTCAGTAACGGCTCTTGTTAGTTTGTCTCAAAATCTGCTCGCATCCAAGGAAGAGCTCTAACAAGGACCGAGATCTATGATAAAAATGTACTGGCTGCTTTCCTAGCGGAAACTACGTAGCACCATAAACTGTGGGGCAGAAGTTAAAGTAGTGGTGTAAATTAGCTGCAAAGTCAGGCAAAGAAGCAGGTCTCCTTATGAAGATGAAGGTGAAGTAAAGCAACTGGTCTTTACACAAGATGTGAATGTGTGTCCATGACTATCCCCCCTACACAAATTAATGCTCGCAAGGATCACTGAGTACGGTAGGACTTAGTATGCAGGGATGGGCATGGTACCTAGCATCATAGATGTATGGGGCTACGATAGGGAAAGTTTTCATCTTCTTCTTCAGACTGAACTCGCGTAACTCAAAAAACGAAACAACATATAATCATAATAATGTGGATATCCATAACTAGACGTGCATGGTCATACTAATTTCTTTGTAAACAACAACAAATAGCCCCAAGCAATACATTATAAAGGATCACACCTGTCAGTGTAAGTCACAATTGGTAAGAGCTATGAGAACGAAACTTTGTATACATAATATATTCAATCACCAACATCAAAGTCACCACAATACATGTTTGTAAACAACAACAAATAGCATCAGGCACTTATCTTTAAAAGTACTTCTTCACTTCTCAAACTTTCTAATGGTAGCAGGTATAGGGATGAATCTTGGTATGCATGCATATTACATGACAACTACTTGTTTCCATGACAACTTTGACAACAACAAATAGCCTCAGGAACTTCTCCTAAAACTTGCTAATGGTAGCACGCATTGGTGATGAAATTTGGTACGCATACATATTACATAATTTCCACGACAACTACATGTTTCGATGATAACCACATATTTGTTTGAACGACAAATAGCCTTACTCCTCAAACTTGCTAATGGGAGATTAAACTTGGTATGCATGCGTATTACATCGTTTCAATGACAACCAAATATTGTTTGAACAACAACAAATGGCCTCAGGCACAATTGCTTCTTTACTCCTCAAACTTGTTAACGGTAGCACCCATGGAGATGAAACTTGGTACGCATGCATATTACATTGTTTCCATCACGACCACATATTGTTTGAACAACAAGAAGGCATTTACTTCTTCATTCTTCAAACTTGCTAACGGTAGCACTCATAGATATGAAACTTGGTATCTAATGTGTATGACATTGTTCCTTGTTTCCATGACGACCGCATACTGTTTGAACAATAGCCTTAGGCACTTCACCCCTCAAACTTGCTAATGGTAGAACTCATGGAGATGAAACTTGGTATGCAATGTGTATGACATTGTTTCCATGACGACTGAACAACAACAAATAGCTTCAGGCCTTTACTTCAACTTGCTAACGGCAGAACACATGGACAGTGCTCGACTACGTGATCGCGGTCAGCTAGCTCATACCTAAGTCATACGGATGTGTTTAGCTCTTTGTCATACTCAGCTAACCACGTGTCAGCTGTACGTTTGTTAATTCCACGCTTCGCGGGAGGAACACAGGTGAAGGGCATCTCGTCGGTAGTGACTGCACGATGACGCTTTCGCCCAGACATCCTTGTTGTTCAACTTGAACTTTGACCATACATGCGCAACAATTGACCGGAAATTGTCAGTTTACCGGACGTTCATTCGAGCACTGCAAGGAGATGAAACTTGGTACGCATGTGTATTACCATGATGACCACAGATATTTTTCCCTATTATAATTCTTATAGGGGGCTTGCCCGCTCACAGAGATATACAAAGTAATAATATAAAAATGAGTGGAGACAAGTAAATTAAAAATCCTAAGAAAGGGAGACAAGATACGTAGGGATGGGATACATGAAACATGGTTAATGAACAGATTTGAGCACCCCGATCCCATTACACAATCCCATCAAACATTCAACATTACAATAGTTAGGACTTACAGCCTCAAAATACAAAAGTCAAGCGTTGCAAGGTGTGCCCTAAGGCTGAAGGAAGACATGTCCTGTTTTCAACGGTGTCCAACACACATACACCTTCCATGAGACTTTCACATGTGCAGACACATCCCTCATTTATTGCAACAAATGAGGGAAGTTGAACATAGGCCTCACTTCCAACAGTCTTAAGGTACGCTTTCGCGCCTATCTGCACTTTTCCGAAGCAAAGAAACGAGTACCCCTGTACCGACACTTTGCTAGGAAATTGCACGACTTTCTTAGAGACCATAGAATCGTTCAGTTGGAGCACTGTGAGCCAGAGTCTCTACCGGGACAAGAAGCTTATTGGATTAGGACCCTGCACACACTCATCCCTCATGGCCTCAATTCAGCTTATGGTAAACCATACTACCCTTATGCCCACTCTCTCTTTCCTCTGAGTCTCCCCGCTGCAAGTACACACAACACGCAAAATCTGCCATTAACCATGCTTCATGTATCCCATCCCTACGTGAGAGTATAGCACAGTGGTTTGAGGTTTGCCTTGTGTTGTATTGTGTTGTGTTGTAAATTTGAACCTCTACCAGCTGAGTTGCCCTGGTAGCTCAGTTGGTAGAGCTCGCGTTCGAATCCTGGGTGTAGTTGATGTGTTTGCTGTGCCTTTGCCTTTCTACGTTTTCACATGCCTATCTTGTCTCCCTTTCTTTTTATACCACCAATATATGCCTCTTTTTTAAATTCACATGATTTTTAATTAGTAGGAGCAAAGCTAACAATTATCTACCGGTACATGGGTGGGCACCAGTTTGTGGGTTATCTATCTCATGGCTGTGTACCATACTGCGCCAGTTATTTTAGCACACGAGTTGTGTCAGCCCGTGCTGCACATCACACCTGGAAGTTGCATGTATATTATACCCCTCCTAGATTTACTTCCTCTTCTCCCTGCTACGTATGTCTTCTTTAGGCTAACTCCTAGCCTGAAGGTTTCAAAACATTTCTCACTTAATCTGGACAGGGAGTGGCTAACGCAATGCACACATTACGCTTTAGAATTTCCAGCCTGCTTCCATAGCAAATCACAAACTTCCTCTGTTGTAATGTTCCATGTCATTCTAAATACGCGCGTGAAATACTGAATTGCTCGTGGTCGCTTGCCACAATTCTTCTAGAAAATTCCCACATTCAAACGACGCTCACTTCGCTTGCCAACTAGAGTAATGTTGGCAAGATAGTGCGATCAGTTAAATTCTGCAATGTGTTTTGTGCGTATTTATAATCACGTAGAACACTACGGTATGTACAGTGCAAGACAGAGCCGCCACATTTATACACTAGAGGAATGCAATGCATCAAAGAGTGCAGCTAGAGTTTTTTCATTTGTCAACAGTTGGACGCACAAAATAATCTAAAAGAGATGTTTACAAGCCCCAGGCATAATGAGATTACGATCACCTGGCTGATGACCTGTCTCTCGTTGTAAATGTGCCTAGTCATTCCATTACAAGTTGGGATCCTCCAGATATATATATAAAAGCTAAAGGTACAACTTAGCAGTGCCATCTGAAAAATGGTGTGCTAACTGCCATGCTGACGCTACCCTTGTGTGCATGTATTGCAGTAAACACACGAAACAACGTAGGGAATAACTACACTACAACAAAACAATTGGTCATGCATTAAGAAAAGGTTAACAGGAACTCCCTCAATTTCAAGGTACTCATAGTTCAAGTAAATATGCTATGCAGGGAAAAGATGCGGACTTGCCAAGGTATGCTACACTTTCTATTTATTTTCGAGGTATTTACTCGCATAATATGCTATACCAAAAAGTGATGATGGTAAATTTACAGAGGAAGCCCCATCACCACTTACACTACAGAGGCTGAGTCCAGGAAACTATGCGCATTAGAGAACCGCGGGGGCCATGAGCAGTTGGCGTTCGAGCGCAGCAAGGATGCTCCAAGGCACCTCAACGCACCTAGTTTGTTTAGAGCTATGGCAACGTGCATGCAGTTGAAACGGCGAACGAGTGCTGTTTCCATGCTGGGAAGTAGAGCGAGAGACCCAGGGAAAACGTCGAGAACGGGCTCGCCTTGACCGGCACGTTTGTAGCGACCTCCGCTAAACGTAAGTGAGCCATTGCGCATGCGACAAACTTAGAGTCCGGAAAATTTGCTCTACGTGATTTAGAGGTCCGCTCATCGATCAATCAGATTACCCAGCTCTAATGTCCAGTAATGTAATAATCAGAGTTAAAAAACTTCACAATTAACTTGCCTCAATTGTCCTGATTATACAAGTGTTAACATTTTTGCAATGAAATAACCCACAGGGATACAACTCACCCCTCAATTAGCTATAACAATACTGCACTTATATGTGAAATTGAATAAACATGCAGTGTATAGGCACATTCATTGTCGCTGCTTTGTACGTCGGCAGTGTTTCGAAGCTATGACCAATGGCAGTCTTCCCTAGCCTCGTTTCCCTATAAGCGTTATTGCTACTAAACTTTCTTCGTTGGCTAGCTAAACCTATAACATACTACTCTACATTACATCTGACGTTTCAACTGCATTCAGCAGTCCTCATTAGTGGGGATGAACATACGTAGTGACTGGTCGCAGGCATATTTTATGCATGAGAGAGAAAAGAAGGAAATTCCACTGTCAGGTAGATGATTAACAATAAGAAACAAGGGCAGATGACAACTAAATGTTATAAAAACTGTTTTCTTTGCCTTTTCTAACTTTGGTATCGTATTTTTTAAAATAGCTTTTCTTTTTTTATATGCCTTATTGAAATACTTCCTGGTGACAGTGGAATTTCTTTCATTCCTTTCTCTCTTATGCATAAAATGGGCCTGACTGTGTACATCACAACCGATGAGGACTGCCAAATGCAGTTGGAACATCTGGTGTATACATATTTGACTAGAGTATTGTGGAGAAGTTCTAGCGCAAGCGCTATTGCAACTTACACGTATGGGTCAGAGGTCATAGGATGAAATAGCACGTGTTACGTATATACAAGAGCCTGCTGTGTTACAAGAGCCAGGTCTTTCCATTCCATCAAGTTCTATATAGAGTTTGTCACAGTTGAGTTGGTGCACCTGGCTTGTCAAAGCACGTGATATAGTTAGGTTCATAATTAGCACATACCTATAGCAAATGGGCAATGGTATGCCCATATAGATGAATGGGTATGTAAGTCCAGTACATAATAATATATGACTGAATAGCAATATTACACCAAATACAGACAGTACCTGAACAGATATGATATTTTCACCAAACAAAGGAAGATGTGTCCTAGGTGCAGCTGAGGAAATGGCTTTCTTCCTCTCTTGTTCATCCGAGTTAATATCATTGCTGTGAATACTGCAGTTGTCACTGCTTCCATCAACCACCCTTACAGACGGGAGACTTTCATGGCTACCTATACTGCTTGGAGATAGAGGCTCCTGGATGCTATCAGAGGCCCTACCGCCTTCTTGCTCACTGCAAAATAAAAATGTTTTTGTTCCAAGTAAACCCCGACATGTACAACATTCACTAGCGCATATACAGTACATAGGGATGACACAGGTTGTTCTGCATTACGCCCATACATTACAGATTTGTATGTTTAACTTTCAGTTTCAATCAGATCCAAATTCTGACATATCAGTCTGATCCGTATCGTCAAAAAAGCATGCATAAAAAAATGGCTTAAATCGCATAATCAGTAATTGATTTCTTCAAAATTCTTGTTATCGTCGTTGCCGTTTAGTTTCAACAACGCATCTCAAAAACCAGGAACGTCACAGAAATGAAATTTTGCACAGAGATTGGAATCGGTGACAGGTCGTGCAACAGCATTTTTTGTTTGAATGTAAACAACAAAAAACAACACAAAATAGATCCAGGCTATACAATACAATCAAGTGTGCAAACTACTACCAAGAGTGAAAAAACTTTGTACAATACAAGTTTGTGAACAAAAACAAACAGCCTCAAGCAATAAAAACTGGCGAAGGATGTTTGTGCCTATAACATGCTTATTGTGGGTCCTCTAACTATGAAACTTGGTATACTGATTTACCATGATAAGAGTTCAAACAGCCTCAGGCAATTAAATGGTGTTTTTTTCTATAACTTTTTATGCTGTGTCCTCTAACAGAAACTTGTTACACTTATGTACTTTGGTGGTGAAAGAAACACGTCAACGAGGACAAAGAGGCAATAAACACATGCTAGCTTTTATATGGGCATTATACCCCAATGCATGTGCATGTCGTAAAAAAGGAAAGGAGACAAGACAGGGATCACCTAGTGTATGTGACAATGGGATAATGGTTACATCTTCAAACTGACATTGTTTGCTCGTGTAAAATTTCCTCCACACAAGCCCTATATTGTAGCCACTTTTACTCATTGTTTAGTGTGAGGACATTGGTAAAGGGATTCTCAGGAGGCCCGAGAGTGAAGCATTGTAAAACTCATGGTTAGTAGAGCAAACATGCAAGTCTTAGACTGCACACAATGCAGTCACAACCAAAAACCGAGGAGCTGTCAGAGAGGGCAACACCTGTGCATTCGTGCTTAGGAAATGAGTCATTTTATGCTCATGCTTCACGACAACATAGGGCTTGTGTGGAGGAAAATGTACACGAGCAAGCAATGTCAGTTTGAAGACGTAATCATCATCCTATTGTACTAATGCATCACATGCACTAGGTCATCCCCTGTCTTGCCTCCTTGCTATTTAAGACATCTGTATTCAATATCCAATCATCTAGGCATCAAACACAACACTATGTAGATTTAACAGTCCACAACTGTTTGACGTCCTATCCCTGCATTCAACTATATTAGTTGATATGACAGAGCTATATATTTTGACTGAAGTTAAATGCTTAATGCTTTTTGCATTATTCGCTTGCTAACGGCAAACAAGTCCATAAAAATATGGATTAAAAATGTTGTTTTTAGTACAGCATCCACAGAATGGTTGGTTAGTTATGTCGCCAATCTATTAAACACTGAATGCCAGACAATCAGAACACAAAACAGAGAGCATCGTATTTTACACTTGTCATTGTAACCTCATACACTAGAGTAAAATATATCCCCCAGGACCCTAGAGTAACAAACCCAGCTTAGGAAATTCCACCAATGACATCACAACTTCCCTTTATAAATACCCTCTATGCTGTAGTGGGTTGCAAGTCCCACAGAGAACCTAACGTCATGCCTATCTTGTCTCCGTACTTTTTATACCATCCCTATACCACTTACCATTTTAGAATTATTAATTTACTTGTCTCCTTTCCTTTTTTTATGGCATGCACATGCAATATAATTTTGGGGCATAATGCCCATATATAAGTAGCATGTGTTCATTGCCTCAGTTTTTTTGTCACTGTTCACATGTTTCTTTCACTACCAAAGTACATAAATGTACCAAAGAGGACCCACCATACGCTATAGGAAAAACACCATTTAATTGCCTGAGGCTGTGGTACGTATGTGATTGTACTTCAATACAATACAGTAGATAGCATGCGGGAGTCGATACATGCCCTCTGTTGTGACTTCTTGTGCCTCCCGGGTACACAGAGCGAGTGGATCAGGTTGAGGCAACATACAGGCTTTTGCTTTCAAGGGATATCTCTCGAACGCAATCGTTTCAGGAAAATTGCCATTTTGTTTTTCAGGTTTGCATGGTTCTGAAGCAGTTGGTATCGCTCATGGGCCGCCTTGTATCCTGTAGTGCCAGAATAAGGGTCGACAGACACACAGACACATACACAGAACAACAACCATAAATAACCCTCCCTGTGCATGCACGTCGAGGGTTAACTATTATTTCCAAAACTTAGGTGCCCATTGACACAAAACTCCAAGGCCCAGTGAAGGGTAGAATAAGGGTCCAGTGTCGGCCAAGCTCCGCCTCCTGCCCCTCACCCTCCCTCTCTCTACATGCAGTGAGTTTGCCACTTGCCTCCCAAACTCTAGGCCTATCTTCCTCTTTCCTCCCCCAATCCCCCCCCCAACCGACACACAAAGTACTGTCACTTTGTATCACCCTTTCTGTTCAAAAAAATAACTCACCATAACTCTTCATTATTTCTAACCCATTGTTTCAATGCAGCTACAATATTGCCCATTCTTGTAATCTGTAATATAAAAGATATGTAGTAAACCAAGAATTTCCAAATATGGTGAATATAGGGATGGAATAGAAAAAGAGATAAGAGTCAGATGACCAAGTGCCATATACAACGGATGAATGCTACATATGTGACAGGCTCTGAGAAAACGACCCTTATGACGCAAATTCGCGAAATATATTTTTTGCGCTACACCGAACGTCCTATAAAAGCTCTATAGTTTGCCGTTTGTTTCAGGGGCGTAGCTCGTTCCATTGCGAAGTTATGAGCACAAGCGCAAGTGCCATTCCGCTGCAACTAACGTGAAAAATCGCGTCCAAAGTTGAACTTCCGGTGTCAAATTTCAACCTCCGTATTCTCGTAACAAGTCCGTGTTACAACATTACGCGCGCGCGTGCATCTGGCCGCATTCATTGATACGCCGCTAGGTAAACGTAGTAAAGGGGAATTCCCGTTTACGTGACTCCGTAAAAGGTTTGATTATTCCCGTGTCACGTTTCCTTGTAATTCCGCGTAACGACGGCACGAGTAACGGTACTTGCCTGGTACCCAGGGCCATAACTACGGAACGGAACGGAGTTAGTGCGTCAAACTTGCGCAGATTATAGACGATAGACAGAGGTACTAGAATACGGGGAAAAACGGGAATCGGTGAATTACGTAGTTCGCCGTAAAACTGCCGCTTCTACAACAATACTACGTGCGTGATAAGGGTCGTTTTCTCAGAGCCTATCACATATTAAAAATGTTTATTGTCTCATGTTGTTTTTGTTGTTTACAAACTTGTAACTTTGAAATTATCAACTAAGTTATAGGCGTTGATAATTTCTGTTGCCTGAGGTTACTTGCTTGTCTTAGTAATATTTGTCGTTAGAGGACATAAGATAGTGAGTTATAGGAGCAAACACCATACTTATCATACTACATCAGGGTACCAAGTTTCATTGTAAGGGGACCCACCATATATGAATGTCATAGGCACAATCAACATTTAGAAGTTTTTTTGTGTCTGAAGTTGTGTTTGCTTAAACAAATGTTAATGATGCGTTCTTTTTATGTTCACTTACAATCATATCCACACGTGATTTTCCAGTAGTTGTAGGTAAAACAACCTCGGCCAGTGATTCCAACTCCTAAATGTAGGAAATAATAGAAAGCCAGTCAACTAATTAAGTTACTGACCACCTACTGATTTTACTAAAGTGCAAACCCTTGGTGCATGTTTGGTGCCGATAATTGATGGGCTGGGCCGAGATATAACTTAGTACGGTAAAACAAAAAAGTACATAGGATGGCATAAAAGAGAGGGAGACAAGATGCGGATGGGATACATGAAGCATGGTTAATAAAAGGATTTGAGAACGCTGACACCCCCGTCACCATAACATAATCACTATATTGTCTAAACTAATAAAACTCTCTAACAGTGTTGGTTACTAGGTAGCATGACATTTTTGGATTTTCAAGCTGACTATTGTAATGGTAAATGTTAAGTACTTCACCTATGCAACAATATACGGATTGTGTGATGGGATCGGGGGTGCCAGTGTGCTCAATCTCTTTATTACCTATGCATTACATCCCTATCTTGTCTCCCTTTATTGTTCTAATTCGTAGAATTTTTTTACTTGTTTCCATTCATTTGGCCAGCCCCATATAAAAATCAAAACAAGAGAGAAAAAGGCCTGTTGTCGTTTACAAACATGTGGTTGTCATTGAAATCTAATACTGTGAGATGTCCGATTGGGAGTAGAGCAGGGGGCGGTGGACGGTCAGCTACGGCGTGATTTCGATGTTGGTTAGCTCTTACCATGTGTGAGTTACACAGACACATCGATCCAATTATAATGTATTGCCTATTTGTTTTGGTTCTTACAAAATTTCATCACTGTATGTGGTTTCATTTTTGAGTAATGGGTGTTGAATCTGAAGAGGAAGGAAGAAGACTCCCTATCATAGCTCCATACATCTATTACGCTAGGTACCATGTACACAAGCAAAAGTAAATTATAATCCTGCGAGGCATATAGGGATGGTACAAAAAGAAAGAGACAAGATTAGGATGGGCTACGTTAAGCACGGTTAACAAACGGATTTGGGCACGCTAACCCCCCCACCCCCCCCGCCCCCAAGCCAATCACACGATCCGTTTATTGTTGCCTGGTTTGAAACTTTAAAACTCCATTTGGACTTTATGACAGTGTTGGTTACTCAGTAGAGAGTATTTTAAAGCTAAAAATGCAATAGAGAATGTTTCATACTTCATCTAGGCAACAATATAGGGATTGTGTGATGGGGTTGGGGGTGTCAGCATGCCCAGAGATGTTTGTTAAAATGCTACACGTATCCTATCCCTCCATACAAATATGCCTCTTCTTTACATTCGCAGTTTACTTGTCATTATCCAATTTTATATACTACTACGTATATCTCTATGAAATACACTGCTTTCGTTTACAAACATGTGGTCATCATGGAAACGATGTAATATGCATGTATACCAAGTTTGATCTCCATGTGTGCTACCGATATCAAGTTTGAGGAGTGAAGTAATAAAAGTGACTGAGGTTATTAGCAAACAAAATGTAGTCATCACAGAAACGATGTAATATGCATGTGTACCAAGTTTCATCTTCATGCGTGTTAGCCTGAGGCTATGTCAAGGAAACGATGTGTAGCGGGGCGCCCTTTGTCAATACCACAATCAGGGCACCAGGGAATTGAAAAAACCCTGGAATGACTCCGAAGAGAAGCGTACTGGCTTGGTATCGCAACGGATGTACACAAATTTTGTCGAAACTGTCAGACATGCCAAGCCTCAAAACTTGTAAGGCTCCACTAACAAACACCCCAATCGGAAGACCCTGGCATATGGTAGCGGCAGACATTCTGGAGGTACCTGTCTCGAGCAACAATAATTGTTACCTCCTAGTTGTGCAAGACTACTTCACAAAGTGGGTTGAAGCCATACCACTGCCCGACCAGACAGCAGATCGCATCACAGGGGAGCTTGTTAAGCTTTTTACTACATATGGATTCCCAGATATCCTTCATTCTGATCAAGGACGAAACTTTGAAAGTACAATTCTACGGAGCACACCGAAAGAGCTGGGCATCCTGAAATCTCGAACAACTGGGTACCACCCGCAAGGAGATGGGGATGGTTACGGTTCAACAGATCGCTTCTACAGCTACTACGAAGCTATGTTGAACACCAAAGCGATTGGGAACGATTTCTCCCGCTAGTCTTGTTCGCATACCGAACGGCAACTCACAGTTCAACTGGCTGTTCCCCATTCACGTTGATGTTTGGACGCTCTCCATCTGCACCGATCTTCCCTCCCTCCCCTGCGTTCGATACAGTGACCTACACAGATAGCTTGCAGTGCAAACTTTCAGAGTTACGAGAACTTGTTGAGTGCCACCTAACAATTGTGGCTACTATGATGAAAACACCATTACCCGGAATTTTCGTGAGGGAGAAACTGTCTGGTTGTCAGCTGGTAAGCTAGATCCACACTGGGAAGGAGGATGGAAGGTCAAACAAGTGATGAGTCCACCGACAGTGGAAATCACAAACGGCCAGCAAAATAAGTGTGTTCACATAAATCGGCTACATCACTGCCTACAGCCAGACCTGGAATCTCCAGACCCCGTCTCCAATCTGGCAGTAGATCACCTGGTTCTACCACCTGCACCTCGAAGGTATATACCCCTTACGCCACAGAGTGCCGCCAGATCGCTATGGATACCAAGACTGCTAAAAAAAGGAGGGGCGAGTGTAGCAGAGCATAAACATTCACACCCATTGTTATCAAAATCCATGTCAGTTGGTCATGTCATGGTTCTGTTGTATAACCACTAGCTCTCACCCATCATCCTATATAAGCTCAGTGTATAACTGCTGCAAATATAACACTTTCTGAGCCGTGCTACAGGATTGTGTATTGGGGCGAAGGGTGTCAGCATGCTCACATCTGTTCATAATTAAACCATGCTTCATTTATCCCATCCCTATCTTGTCTCCCTTCATTTTCATAGTATCTCTTTTCTTAAAAATTTGCAGTTTGCAGGGATTTTTAACCCTCTGCGCGCATGTGCAGCGAGGGTTATAGCACTTGATATGTCATTCCGTCTGTCTGTCCGTCCGCCTGTCTGTCTGTCTGTTACCTCATTTTCTGCCGCTACGCGAAACAAAACGGTAAAAAAGCGCTACCAACGAGTTTAGTGCCACACTGACCTTTATTTAAAAATACTGTGTGAGAGAAATGTGATGGCGTAGCATACTTCCCATGCGCATGTGCGCACTCGCTAACTTCTCGAGCGAGTTCTCTGTTCTCGAGGCTACCGCAATCGAACAAGGTCGTGATCTCGTTTCATCCGTCGCTGGGCCGTTCGGCCGGTGTGCCACCGTTGCGGTCTCACTTGCCACAGGGAGCAAGAGTGTAAAAGAGATAGCTGAATGAAGGGGAGTGGTCGCCTCAGCCATTCCCCGCCTCTACAGCCTCTACAGCACAGTTTTTGTCTACATATATGTACGATGCTGATGCTAGTTCAATGCTTTTTTAAAAATAAACTTACTGTTCTCTGCTAGATCCTAAGGCTAAGGGGGCAAAAAATATAGGGGAGCACTGGACACCATTATTAAAATTGCTGTATACAATCCTTGAATGCAATACCATTGGGTTCGATTCAAAAAACTATTGTGTTCACCTTTGACATGGAAGCAAAATTGTGACAAAAACATATTATGGTAAGAAAGCCCACCCCCAAGAACTACACCTTTGTAATTGAATGAAGAAGTTGTGATGGTGAACGATCAGTAACAACAAGTGGGTCCATTTCCATCACAGGAACGACAAATGGAGTTGTAACATCCATTGAGGTAGTATAAAAAGTGGAGCCACGCTTCATTGTATCGTGAGTTACAGACTTGCCCCTTCGAACACTTTTTGTCGACCCCAGAGGTTCATTTGCACTCGTTAGTGTCTGGCTACGTCTTCTGAGCATATCCTTTGTAGGCTGAATAATTGACATTTCGTCAGTGGAATAATAATGACCACCTTCAGAAGGGTATTCTTCTTTGTCTGCTGCATGTAAATTTTCGGTTTGCTTTTTTAACTTTTTCTCTATCTTTACTTCTTCCATATACTGCTTTGCTGTAAAAAGAATACACAAGTGTGAGTAAGCAATTTGGAAGGTTATATGTATTGTAAGTATGTTTGGCAGGTTTCAAACAATACGCTTACCAGTAACAGTACCACGGCGTAAGCGTGCATCTGATTTTCGTCTTGAACGACAGCCACCAAGAATTGCCTAAGTGTAAAAGAAGGTGATGTAAAACATACAAAAGGGTCAAAAGGGAAGTAGATGTGCAGGAAGAAAATGCATATATATAGGAGTAACTCCCTCCTTCACTGCTTACTAACCTTACACCATTCATCTCTCTCAACCTCTTCACTCTTACCAGAATCACTCATACGGGTGCGAAAACTATGATAGGGTAAGCATTGCACACAAATGATGAGAGATAGATAAAAAAATGTATAAACACATTGTCACTCAGACTCTCCCGGACCCATAAGACACAATTGCACAATCCTAAATATAGCACTTATGGTACGTAAGTGTGAGTTAACAGGCCATACCTATGACGTGTTTACCACAAAACCCAGGGAAGCCCTAGAAGGCAAGCTGTTACAAACGAGGCCTGTACGGGAACAGGCACTAGCTCGCTGCTCGCTCGCTAGCTCATTGCACTATACTGCCCAGCGCAATCACTGCCCAGCTCCTGCTGCTGCAAAAAGTTGCACAATTTCTGCCCAGCACCCTACGTCCCGCCGCGAGCTGCTTGCCCTCACAGCGCCGCAATTGCGTGGTGGCCGACAGGATCTATCGGCAACGCCGCTAGGCGGACGAGAGCGCACGATCGACGCCTCCACCGCGGTCCCGGTCGGCGTCGCCGCCTCCTCATCGTCGCTTGCCCCAGGCTCCCTCCCAGACCACCCCTTCCCGCACTTGGCCACGGGAGGACGACCTGGCACGGACGGTCCAGCGCCTCGTCAACAGCAGCCTGCAAGGGATGGAGGACCGCCTGCTCGGCGCTCTCCGTGCTCTCGCTCCACGCGCACCTGCCGTGGCCGACAACATCTCCCTGCCGTTGCCGCTTTCCCAGAACCATACTCTGCCTCCCCCACCCACCGACGGAGCTCCACCTGCCATGCAGGAGGACACTGCCGCCCTCACTCTACCCCACGCGCCTCTCCCCCAGCAACCACTTCTGCCGGAGAAGGTAAAGCAGAAGATCCTCCGAGGTGAGTACATTCACTTTGATAGCCTGTTGCCTGAGTCTCTGTACCCCGCGTGGCACGGCCTGAGCCCCTCCCCCTCCTTCACGCTGAGGCTCTCGAGCGATACAACGTCCACCGACGGGGATGTGGTCATCGCACAGACCAAACCTTCGGCAAAACGCTCAATCCGCGACCTCTCCTCTTGGATGGAGGCGTGGAACGTCTCATCCAGGTGGTTGTAAAGCACTCGCTGGTCCGCGGGCTCCCGCTGCTCGCTTACCAGCGCATTATCTGCGACGCTAGCACTCGCTTCCCCCCACGCTGCTTGCTCCGCTACGACCAACGCTTCCGAGCTAGCGTCGCAGCTGACAAGAGCCTCCGCTGGGACGGCAAGCTCAACGACCTGCGGCTCTAATGCTTCACCCAACCTCACCCCCAGTCCCCCACGCAGCCCACAGCTCCCCCACAGCCAGCTTCAGCTGGAGGCAAGACTCGCAGGCCTTGCACGTACTGCGGTAACCTCTACCACTACCCAGACAACTGCCCTTCCAAGCCTTTTTGCTCCTTTCATACTCCAGCTTCTTCTCCTCGACCCCCCCTCGCGTTCAACACCCACAACTGGTGCGCCAACTCATTTCACCGGGTTCATGACTCGGCCCCAACAGAAGCCCTCCCACACATGCCCCAACAACCAGCCCCTCCCACATTGCCGCGACTTTAACAGAGGCTCCTGCCAACGCCTCCCCTGCAGGTTTCGCCACGCCTGCACCAAGTACAGCAGCCCCGCCCATGGGGTGAGGGACTGCCCAAACCCCCATTGACCAGCAGAAGCTGGTCACCCCCTTACAACTGTTCCAACTCGAGCGTGAACTAGTTACCCACCCCTACAAAGGCTTCATCCGCCAGATTCTGCACAACATCACGCACGGCTGCTTCATTGGCTACGATGGCCTGCACTTCACACACACTGCAAAACATCTACCCACAGCCTATACACACGCTGAGGTCATCACTGGAGCCATCGGGAAAGAGTGCATTGCAGGCCGAATGGCCGGCCCGTATCCACAGCCACCACTTCTTAATTTGCGCTGTTCCAGCCTTGGAGTAGTGCCAAAGAAAGACGGGGGCTGGAGGGTCATATACCACCTCTCAGCACCACATGGCTCCAGCATCAACGACTACATCGACCCTGCACGCTTCTCCCTACATTACTGCACAATCGACGCCGCGATAACCATCCCGGACAATCTCGGTCCAGGCTCTCTGATGGGAAAAATGGACCTCAAGAATGCCTTCCGTCTCATGCCTGTACGGAAGGAGGACTTGCACCTCCTGGGAATCCACTGGCAGGGCCAATGGTACGTCGACAAGTGCCTCCCATTCGGCCTACGCTCATCCCCGGAACTTTTTAACATGCTGGCCGACGCACTGCAGTGGATCATGCTCAGGAACTACCAGGCCACACACATCATTCACTACCTGGATGATTTCTTCACTGCGGGTCCTCCCAACACCGACACTTGCCAGCGCAACATGGCCGCCATGGCCCGGGCGTGCACGGCCATCAATGCCCCTGTCAAGCCCGAGAAAACGGAAGGCCCCTCTACCACCGTCACCTTCCTGGGCATCCAGCTGGACTCCGTGGCCATGCGAGCCTCATAGACCTCAGCACCACCGTGGGCCCCATCCACCACCATGTCACCCTCAATAGTGAGGCACGGGCAGACCTGGTGGCAGTTCCTGCCAGAGTGGCCAGGTAGCAGTCTCCTGCTGCAGTCCGAGTGGTCACTGGCCCCAGACATGGAACTCTTCACCGACGCCTCCAACATTGGCTACGGCGCTTTCTGGGCTGGCAAATGGTTCGCTGCCACCTGGCCACCCGCTCAGCTCAATCTTTCCATCGCCTGGAGAGAGCTTTACGCCATTGTCGTTGCCTGTGCCACATGGGGCTTGCACTGGAGACGGAAGAGGATACTCTTCCACTGCGACAACGCCGCTGTCGTGCTGATATGGCAGAGGGGCTCATGCAAATGCCGGGAGCTAATGGTACTCGTGCGTACTCTCTTCTTTCTCGCAGCAAAGGGAGAGCACCACGTTAGCATAGCCCACATCCCTGGCGTGCAAAGCACCATAGCCGATCACCTCTCTCGCCTCTCTATGCAGGCCTTCCGGCAAGCAGCCCCATCACGCGGACCTACCTCACCAGCCCCACACCCCTGCTCTACTGACCCTGCCCTGACAGCTCTTGGGGTCGCCACTTCCACCAGACGCACTTACCAAGCGGGTATCAACCGCTTTACCCAATTTTGCACCTCCTACAACCTCCAGCCCCTCCCGGCCTCCCCCCTTACTCTTCGCTATTTATGCGCCTACCTCTCCCCCTCTGTCCAGCACTCCACCATCAAATTGTACCTCACCGCTCTCCGCCAGTTTCACGTTGAACACAGCTACACAGACCCCACGAAAGACTGCCTCCTCCAAAGCACCACCACCAGACCTCGCCTCCCCATCACCATTCAACTACTCAGGGACCTCAAACTAGCATTGCACAACTGCACAGCACTTACCACCACCAACAAGAGGACATTGTGGGCAGCATTCTGTGTCGCCTTCTGTGGCTTACTCAGAGCCAGTGAGTTCTGCTCACCATCCTCACATACCTGTGATCCAGCATCCACACTCTGCCACACAGACCTCACCTTCACACCCGCAGCAGTTAATCTCTGCATAAAGGCATCCAAGACAGACCCCTTCCGCATCACCTGCACCATCACCATTGGAGCTACGCATACATCTACCTGCCCAGTTAAGGCCTTACAGAACTACCTACCACACCTCACTCGCACTCTTCTGCTTCGAGGACGGCTCTTACCTCACCCGCACCTCCCTCACAGCCCAGTTCCGTTCGCTCCTGCAGGCGGCGGGGCTGGACCCAGACACATATGCAAGCCACTCATTTAGGATCGGAGCAGCCACAACCGCAGCATCCGCCGGCCTACCTGACTGGCAGATCCAGGCCCTGGGCAGGTGGTCCAGTGACTGCTACACCCGCTACATCCGCACACCCACAGACACCCTCATCCAGGCAACACGAAAACTAGCCGCACACCAACCCGCCAACCAGCAATAATCTGTGAGTTACGTAGGCTGAGTGCACACGCAGTTGACGCGTGCAAGCAAGGGGTCAGAGCGTTGGGGAGCCAGAGCCCAGACAATTTGGAGAAAACTTTGGGTGCTAAGCTGGCGGGTCAGTTATCACTGACAACAGAGCCCGAGATAAGCCCTAGCACATTGAGAACCCACAGCCTGTGAGACGTAAGCCTGCCCCAACCACAGACATGGCTGCGCTGATTGGCAAAATATGCATAACTAACTAGGTGCGCCGGGCCCAGGCTCTGCCCATCTCTGACCCCAAAAGTTTGCCATGCATAGCATTTCTGCATGGGTACTAAGCCTGTTAATAGAATGTTAAACATTTTTGGCGAGTGGGAGCGACCCAATTGGGACAGGGCTGACACAAGAACCTGCGTTGTAAGCCTGGTTTAGAAGGTGGTCTAAAAGAAATGGACCTCTACTTGAGTATGTAGTGCTCACCAGCAACACTATAGCATGTGGACAATTGGGTGTTACAATCAAGTAGAAATTGAACAACACGCCATGGTGAAAATGTGCCTACATGTAGAAGAAGTGTCATGCACAAGGTCGATGGCAAATGTAAAGAGAGTATTAGGAAATGAACTACAGAGAAATTTGTCGAGAGAGGTTAATGTTTCTCTGTGACGGAGTTTTTAGCACTCGTCTCCGGCAGTCAGCGTGTCTCATCTGTCGCAGGCATATGTGACTATCTTGAGATAATTGTGCTTCATGACATGCTCTCTCCCACGCCCGAAGTTGTGAAAGGCACGCCTCTCTCTCCTTGGCCGTCGTCAAGACGATGTCTCCGGCAAGCACGTTGCCTTGGCAGTCAGCAGTCCCAGGCGTCGACAGTTTCTTAAGTGCGACGCCGTCTATCTGTCTCCCTAGTCTCGGGCATGGACGGTTTCTAAAGTGTGACGTTGGCTGTCTCTTTCCCTACGCACTGAAGGATCCAGATCCATGACTACACACGTGAAAATAATATTGCATTGGGGCCTATTATGTTGTATCGCCGGATACAAGCTCGCCAAAATAACAGGCCTATATATAGCTCAATCTACACCGACCACATCAGTACACATGTAGTTAGACTACAAGTCTTTTAAGACAGTCACTCTTATGGATATTACCCAATGAGGTGCTCTTTATTCAAAAGGCCTATCAGTATTAGCAAGGAATACATTCTCTGTGCCCAGCAAAACCTGAGGTACATACAGTAGGTCAGTGACTCTAATGCTCTGACAGGGTTAAGAGTTATGTGGGCATAAATATTGACTTTCAACTACTACTTGTCAGCATAACAAGTAAACATGTTACTGAACAATGGGTTGCCTCAACTACATGCGTAGAAATGAAGATATCCATGTCTTACCAACTAATTCTGCTAGCACGAGAAGCGGCAAGCTAGATGATGTGACTGGGTTCATTAATTAGCGTTTATTACATTCACTTTGGCACAGAAAGTGAGTCGCTTTAGTGCCGAGAAAAAATTGATCCAAGTATTGACATCCAAGCTGAGCATGTGCACCAAGGGTTAAAATGACTGCAGCTTGTTGCAATCCTATTCACTGGCGCCATACCTGAGAGCAGACAGATTTTCCATACAATGACTACCATCAAATGCAACGTGCAAAAATGTTTAGGATTATCTAGATGCTCCATCTTCTATTTGGTGCGCTTGGTTACCTAAATTACATAAAGGCAGTTAGGCATAACCAGATATAATGCTGCAGCTCTGCAACGAATCATATTACACAACATCCCATGTTGTGACCTTCATCTGCCGCTGAATATGTGGGTTAATTTGTGTCGTGGATAATGCCTTGACAAATGTATGGTAGATAACACGCAGGCAGACAGAAGACTTAGTAAGAACCAGTGCCCCTACAGTTGACTTAACTAGTGCCACTCTGAGACAACGGCTCAGTGACACAGACGGTTTTTGTTGTAGAGAGTCCCCATTCCCCAAACATTTGACCTAACATAAGGCTTTCAACCGTAATGCACGCTGCCTTTCTTGCCTTTGAAAGAGACTACTTTTAAAACATTGTACAATAAAACGTAAATTACATTATCCGCTCCACATAAAACACCTCTCCTCAGCTAATCTATCTTCGTAACTCACATCAGAAACAATCACAGTAGCTACAAACCTTACAATGACAAATTCCTATACTCTATTTACACAATGAAAAAAAGGAGAGTTGCATCATCCAAACACAAAGAACATCATAATTTGGCAAAATGACAGCAAAAATGCCGCTTGCGAACAACAGGCTTGTATGATATCTGGAAGATAGATAAGATTGCAACCTTGCAACAGTAGTGTGTTCAATTTATTAAGTCCGCGAGTTAGCTGGTTCTATTGCCACATTATATATTTAGCCCATAAATTCTTATAGCTACGAGCATCGGTGATTTTGATACAAGGGCAACAAACTGGAACTGTAGGTGTTGGTGTAAAGAACGCCTGACATTCACCAATACACATTGCCATCGCCATATTAGTTGGTCTTGTGTGTCTGTCTGTCTGTTTGTTCACAGCTATTCTGTAACTAACAGGGTATGGGTATGTCACCAGCTAGTTAACACGAGAAACTGGCTCCGTTGACGGGTTAGACCATGTAGCATGGCCTGGCCCATTATTATTACATGCATGCACGTCAATACATGCATGCCATCGTTTTACTGGTTACCGAAATTACATAAGCAGCCTTACGGTAACAGGTTTATAGCTGCATCTTATAGGTGTACTACTAAGCCTCTTTCAAGACCGCTTACATGTTGCCTAAATACAATCATTAACCACTTCAGGCAGTATTGCAATGGGATTTACTGTAGAACAGGTGTGAATTGCTTCTGGGTGATAGATAACTCACAGCAGGTGCTTAGTACGTTAAAAAAGATTAATTATTCTTCTTCAGCGAAACATTGTGATAGTTACGATTTTTCTACATTATATACCAGTATTCCGCATGACTCCCTAAAACAAGCCCTGAAATATTTGATTCAGGAAGCTTATAGAGTTAGAGACAACACCTTTCTTGTAGTGCGTAGCAATGGCAAGGGGGTTTGGTCGGATGTGCCATCTGCTAGACAGAGCCTGACGAAGATAAGCTCATTACGTATGTGGAATACCTCATAGATAACGTGTATGTTAATGTAGGTAACAAGGTCTATAGACAGTGTGTGGGCATCCCTATGGGCACTGATTGTGCTCCATTATTGGCCAATCTGTTCCTGTTCTTTTACGAGTACAGGTACATGAAAAAGCCTGATAAAGAACAATATACTCATGGCTAGGAGGTTTAACAATACAATGAGGTACATAGATGACCTTCTTATACTAATAACATCCAATTTAATGACGCCATACAGGACATATATCCTTTCTGAGCTTCAGCTCAAGAAAAACTACGGAGAGCCCAACTACACTTTCCTACTTAGATATACTTATTACTATAGAACATGGGAAATATTCTACTACGTTGTACGATAAGAGGGATAGTTTTCACTTTGAGATCGTGAATTTCCAAATATGAGTTCTAACATCCCATCTAAACCAGCTTATGGTGTATATATTTCCCAACTTGTACGTATAGGTAGAATATGCAGTGGTTAGGAGCAATTTGTGAACGACATTACAAAACTCACACAAAAAACTAATAAAGCAAGGATTAGATATGCGGAGCTATGTAAAGCATTTAGAAGGTTTGCGCAAAATCATTGCATTGCAAAATACAACCGCAGGTGTACGTAGACATATTGAGGACGGTGTATGTTTGCCAGCCAGTGATGGATTCCTGGGCCGCCAAGTCTCGACACGGTAGAAGATCCCGTGGGATTGGTAGCTAGATGTTTTTGTACACACACACAGTTGTCACACATAAGCTTCACGTTGACTACTGCATAATATTTTACTATGTACACTACGTGGGGCGGCACTAATAGGAACCACGATAGTGCACCACGTTTTATGCGTAAGTCATTTTATTCCAGATTCTATTTTTCTACCACGTTTTTACGCTACAAGTAAGTCATTCTATGTTTTTTACCATGTGTTTACTGCTACAAGTGAGTCATGTTACAAGTGAGTCATTCTACCTTGTTTTTACGTCCAGTAAGTAAGCTAGATTCTATTTTTCTATTTTCTACAATGCTACCAATTTCTTTTTTCTACCATCTGTGTTTGTGTATATTATTTTTTATATATTTATATTTATATGTATCGTACTCTACATGTGTTGTCGTGACTGTACTATCGTACAGTTACTCACTGTGTGGCTGTCATTGTTTGTGATGTGGAGTTTGGATGCTGGGTGTGTGGGGAGAGTTGGCTAGCCATAAAAGACTCTTTAACCCACCATCCCGGTTCTCAAGGCCGGGCACCCAGTGTCCTACTATCATGTCATGTCATGTGTATTTGTGTATGTGTTTTGTGTGGATATTTTGGGGTTTGTAAATATGGTGGTGGTGGTTTTTATTTATTTCTCTATCTATCTATCTATATACCTATGGCTGGTATGCTATGAACTATAATTTCATGCATGTTCATAGCGCCGACGGCTAACACTTTAGTGCTTTCATTTCTAATGTAATGTTATACAGTATAAAAATATCCTGAATAGTATACATGAAACAAGAAGTAGCATATTCATGTTAAGGCAATGTCATGTGCTTGGGCACAGTTTTTGTATTTGTTCACATGCAAAATATTCAAATGTGGTTTATTTTGTGTGGTGCAAAAGGTGGGGCTGGTGTTCTGGTACAGTATTTAAGGGGTGAAAGATTTTTTTTCAACTTCATAGGTTGAATTCTACTAAGCCAAGGTACAAGAAAAATATTTTTGGGATTTGTATGCTTTGTTTTCATGCCTCATTAACACATTCATGAGTTAGGGTCCCACACATTTCTCTGAGAGCCTGAAAAATAAATGCACATCAAATAGAAGTCGCGCATGCATTTGCGTGTACATGCGCAATTGCGTTGCACGTGTTCTACGGTGTTAGTTTGGCAACTTGTTGAGAGGCAAAAATTTTACATGTCCTGTCAATGTTTAGGCATGTCAGCTACATTTACATGGAACAGGACATGTAAGAATTTTTTGCCTCCCAACAAGCAAGGGCTAGTGGGTATTAAGGCTAGTTAGAGGCTAAGGTAGGGCAATAGCAATTGAACTCAATCCTGGACCAGACTAACCAGAGGCACACCAATCACTGCATAGGTAGATCTTGCACCACCAAGGTCAAGGGACATGCATTTCTAGGGTGCATTTATCTAAGATCAAAGGATTCCAAGTTAGTAAAAAAAACAACGATGAAGTCACGCGACTGCAGCTTATGAGAGGGGCATGGGATACTCACGTAGGCGTGCCTACATGTTACACAAACGTTCTTATTACCAGCGTTTTAACTACGCCCGCAGCGTTTTTTTTTTTTATACACACGCTGTATACTAATGTCGTTTTGTATGCACAACAAAAACCAGCGACAGAGCTGACACACCGCTGCTGTAGGCTGGTTCGCATCTTACCAAACTTCTCGCCAAAAATCTCGGTCAGGAGCAGCTCCAGCGCTGTCATTTTTTGCGTGGGAGGTACTCCTCCATGGGCTTTAGCATCCTACAGAAGTTTTTTTCGATCCGGTTTGAGATGTCTCAAAAACAGCGGCTAGCGTAATAAAAACGTGCTATTTCGCGTGGCATTCGAATTTCACAATTTCATAACCGACGGAACTGGGCCGCTAAAAAAAAAGCTTCCGTAGGGTGCTTCATTTGGCATCGGAGTATACTTTTATGTGCGGTCCAGTAGGTTTTATTTTTGGGGAGGAAAAGTTCTTACTCAACCGGCCCATGCGGGTCAATGGTCGTGACGTCATTGCGTAGACTACGCGCGCGCATTAAATCGCGCGAGTATACCGTAACCTTAAGTGAAGTAAACCCAATAGCGACACGAGCGAAGACGAAGTATACTCACCTGAACGACTTTTTACTGTGGACAAGAGAGACAACAAATCCTCTTGTTCCAGTTTTCTCTACTCTTGTAATATTAGCTTTCAGAGGAATGATGTTTAGTGCTTGCTGCAGATCAAAAATAAATTGTCTTGTTAAGTAGTTTGTAACTAAACACCAACTGCTAACAAGTAAACAAAAAACAGATATGGCATTGAAATAAGAAAGAGACAACCTGGTGTATGTGATGCAGCACTGGTTACAAGTGTAAATTTCCTATGCATATTGGCGCGAAGCGTGAGTTTGCTTGCTCATAAAATGTGTATATACATAAGCGCACGAGACAGGTAATGCACATGTGTTGCGTTTGCACTCAATGTTTGTTCAACAACCCCCTAAAAGATCATGCTGTAATTAACCCTCCGCGCGCATGCGTAGCGAGGTTTACGGTAGTCGTTCTGTGTGTCTGTGTGTCTGTCTGTCTACGACTATTCTCGCACTACAGGCTACGAGGCGGCTAATGAGCGATACCAACAGCTTTACCGGTACATGGGCTAGAAAAATAAATTGGCGATTTTGCTGAAACGACTGCGTTCGAGAGCGACCACGGTCGCGGTCAGCGTTGCGTGGCCCAACCCATCAATAAGCGGTGCGCATGCATGTATTAGACGCGACCGACGCAGAATGCTGGCTCGCCTCGACCTGATCCGCTTGCTCTGTGTACCTTGGAGGCACATGAAGCCACAGATGAGCTGGTCCGGCTATTGACCTTTCGCCTCAAAGCCACCTACCCCTCTTTTCGTGGTCACATTTTCCAGCCGATGATTTGAATTGCTATGGGGTCTCAGGTGTCGGTGTCAGTGGCTAATCTAGTCATGGAGGACATAGAGGAGAGGGCCCTGTCCACCTTTTCAGTCAGTCTCCCCTTCTGGAAAAGGTACGCCGATGATACCTGCACTGCGGTTGCCAGCAGCAAAGTACAGGACCTCCTCCAACACCTAAATGGAGCCGAAGAAATTCACGGTAGAGGTTAAGTCTAGTGGTCAGATGCCCCTTCTGGATGTACTGCTTCACCATGAGACAGATGGTAGCATTAGTACTAGTACTTAGAGGAAAACTCGGACTCATACTGAGCTCTACCTAGACTTCCATTCTCACCACCCTCTCTCCCACAAGAGGTCTGTCGTCTCCACATTGCTCAGGACTCTCTCCTCTAGCCAAAAGTCGGAGGAAGCTGAGAACGAGCATGTGTTGCTGCCATTGAAATGTTACGGCTACCCTGGCCCTCTGGTTAGCCAACAGGCACAGGCTTATCGTAGGTACGATGGACCTCAGTTGTGCGATGGTGCGGAGTGCCATTCTTCTACTGTGATTCCTTAGTACAAGGTGTCTCTAAGATATGCTAGCTCCACGGAGGATCCGTGTTTCATTTAGACCTCATCAAGGCCCAAGGACGTGGTTCCAGACCTCCAGAGGTCTAGTGTGGTGTATCAGATACAAGTGCTTCCAGCCCTGCCTCATACATTGGCCTGAGCAGACTACGGTTGGAGCAGCGGATCAAGGAGAATAGAAGAGCGGTTGTTGCTGCAGACTTCAACTCCTCAGCACTAGCCAAACACGCCTGGACGACTTGTTGGCATGCCTGTGTCTGACGTCCTCTGGCCATTTCTCTCTTTTTTCATCTACTTATCTGATCCTCTCACTCGCTGCCGTGATACTTTAAACTGAAGAAGGCAGCTATGCCTGTTTATGAAGTTCTGACCAGAGTATACGATTAAACGTAAGTTGTTTATTAAAAGAATGTTCTTTACATGTAAACAACCCAAAACGATTATGATATAGACCAATAAAGTATGTGCTAACAAGTTAATTCCCACAAACATTATTCCTCGAAAATGAAGGGGGATAAAGAAATGGGCTGAAGCACCAAAAACGAAAACCCAAAGGGTGATTACACAGCGAAGACACACAAAGCTACATGACACCATCCATGTATCTTTGTCTGGTATTATTAACCCTCGGCCCGCATGCACAGCGATGGTTACCGTAGTTGTCGTGTGTGTGCGTCTGTCTGTCTGTCTGTCTGTCTGCCCATACCTCCACATCATGAATCGCTCCACAAACAATACCACATATTCAGCGTCGGGTATATGTAGCGTTTTCTCAGAAACTGCGGCATTCGAGAGTTTCAGCGTGACACACGAGCGAAAAGGCAATATGCAAATTACAACTGGCTTACCTCCACAGCATTCCGCCTGTTCGCGTACCGTAGAGCCAACGGAAGTTACCAGGAGGCAGGGATTGGGGAGCCTGTTGTGTTCAGGCGGTTGTACGTTAAGGCAAAGTTGAGTATGAGGCGCGGGTGGAAGTTGCAAGAGAGTGATGCAAGTAGTATAGGATTTTTCCATGAAGGGAAGAGAGTGAGGGAGAGGGGTTGGCTGGGGTGAGGCTTGTGGAGCGTGTGACCGAAACACCTGCATGCGAAACCGAGAATGAGAGTCGGCAATAACATTGTGAGTGCCTGGAATGTGTTATGTAGACACGGTAGAATTGTATTTAGCAGCCATGAGAAAGAGGGTACGGAGGCGTGAGGGCAACGGGAGGAGCCAGACACTAAGCAATGAACTATTGCCTGATTGTCGCAGAGTAGGCGGATGCATAGAGTATGCCACTGTTCGCCCCAAACTGCTGCTGCGAGCACGATTGGGTTGAGCTCCTTTCACTGGATGCTCCGTTTCAACTGAGCCGTAGACCAGCGGCAATTGAACCACTCACCCTGGCAGTAGGTGGTCCCTGAGCTATCGGTAAAGAGCTGGAGGTGGGGGGAGGGGGTCCAGTCTGGCAGGAGGAATAAGGATCAACAATTCCACGGGGTGGCGAACTCCTGCCACCACTAGAGGTCGAGCATGAAGTCCCCGAAGAGGGGGATAACCTCGTCTAGGGAGGCAACGAGCTGAGGTCGATCATACTTCGGAGAAAGGTCCTTCCAGCGGGGACCACCTTCTCTGCAAAGCTTAGGGTGCCAATAAGGGATAGCAGTTCCCACTTGGAGCAGCTGGAATGGGTTGCCCAGGTGTCCAGAGAGTGTTGTTTATCCTGGAGTTTACAAGGCGGGGGGAGGCAGGCTTCAAGGAGGGCGGAGTCAAGGAGTATGCCTAGATACTCGAGGCAATTGTCGTCGTCCAGTTGGACCCCCAGGGCAGTGCAAAGGGAGACGAGGGTGTGCAGATGTTGTGAGCACTGCTCTGAGTCGGGTGATCCAGCAACAAAGAAGTCATCCAGGCAGTGGTGGATGTGGGTGACCCCCTGCTGGATAGCTAAGCAATTGAAGATGAAAGGGGCTGACATGAGACCGAAAGGAAGGACATGGTCGAAGTAAAATGGGAACCTCCACTTCATGCCGAAGAGGTTGTGGTAAGAGGGATGGACTGGGCAGAGTCTAAAGGCGCTCTTGATGTCTATCTTTGCCATCAGAGCTCCTCGACCAAGGCGCATCACGGAGTCTATGGCGTCGTAGACGGTGGAATAGCGCAGCGGGAAGTCATTGTTATGAATGCTGTCGTTGACACTGCTCCCTGGTGGGTAGGATACGTAGGTGCATAATGAGGCGCCATTTCCCTGACCTTTTCTTGGGAACAGCACCAAGGGGGTTGACAACAAAGCTGGGTAGAGGGGGGGAGGGGAAGGGGCCAAGAGTGTGCTCTGCTTGACATTTGGCCTCCAAGTATTTGTTAATAACTTGTGGCTAGCCAGGGCTGAGCGCAGATTTGAGGAAGAGCGTCGAGCCACAGGGGGAGCTGCTGCCAGTCCAAATATATGCTGGGGAAGAGAGAAAGGGAGGCTAGTAAACCCATGAGATTGAGGTTGCAGTGGTGGCACTGGAGCCGGAAGACTGCGGGGCTGCCAGTATCCCAGCAGCGGCGGGAGAGGTGGGGCGTAGCCAACGAGAGAGACCTGGCTTGACTGCAGCGAGGACCCAGTGGCAGCGGGCTGCCGTAGAGCCACCGCGGTAGTTGACGGAAAAGGGGGAGGAGCTGGGGCGAAGGCAGTGGAGGGCGCGGCCGCCGACGGAAGGGCGAAATGCGCTAGCACTCGAGCCGCGGCTTGCTGCGCGGCCTGCTGGGCAATAATGCGCAGGTTAGACGGCTGCAGGCCAGGGCCAGCGTGAGTGGACGCCGCTGGCAGGCGCGGCATGCCAGCGGAGAGTGAGGCGGCGATCGCAGAGACGGCAGGTGTCGCGAATCCGACGGCCTGCTGCGAACCAGCGTTGGTGGTGGCTGCAGAGGACGCGGGGAGGGGATGTAGCTGGGAGCGAAGGGTCAACAGTCAACCGATCAGAGACGATTTCTGACCGCCGGTTGGGAGACCGTTTTCCTTGCATAGCTGGATGAGCTGCGTCTTGATCAGCGAGTCCAGGTCTGCATTACGGAGATTTAATTGTGTGGCCATCAAGATGCCGTATGTTGGAAAGAAGACCTTTGAGTGGCTTTGACGGGTATAACACGCTGCAAACACTGCGACGTGAAATGTGAGCGCTGTTGCGCTGCAAGTCCGTTTCGTATGCGCGTGCTTGCCCGCCTACTTCCGTTCTAACCGGAATTACCCATTAATTAATCTTTGTTAGCATGTTGCTGAATACACACCCTGGTGCCTCAGAATTGATTTGAAATCTGCAGCACCTACACTGTTGAACATTGAATTCTGTGATGTCGTCCCTGTGATCTGTTTTGAGGATGTCATTTTGGATTGAAGTCAAACATCTGGGACTTATAACCTTGATGATAGAAAAGCTAATTCAGTTTTATGCACGTTTTGTACCACTGACCCAGTTGTGAAGACATTTCTTATCAAGATGCACTGCCTATTACTGGCCTCAAATCTGGTCCCTTACTTGAATTTGCACTAAACAAATTCTGTGGAATTTACCCTAACGATCTAACCCATCTATTGTGCATTGCACAGCTGAGATTCCAGCCACTTGTAAATATCGCTCAATCAGTCTGTATCATGCAGATTTTTGTCATACTAGAGCGTTGGAAGATACTCCATACAGGGATGGCATGGGTCAAATCTCACGCGATCCATGTAGATAAAGACTCAAAACTCAGTGAGAATGATTTGCTACGCCTTCAAAACAAACAACTCAACACGGGAGTTTCATTTTTGTGTCATAATAATATCTTCTTCTTCAGACCATTGGAACAAGTTTCGTCGCATATGTGCACGCCCACTCAAGTGATCGGTTTTTTGCTGGGAGGGGGACCACTCTGTACGTACCCAGAACAATCTTTCTGCAAAGCGACAAAATGGTTTCTATGAAGGAGGCAGCCAACAACAACCTCTTGAAGGCCAGACAGTAGCAGAGGGCATGGTATGACAAAATCTCCTGAGAAGGTTTATTTGCAGTCAGTGATTGGGTCCTCGTATTCCTTCCCACGTTGGCCTCTAATACTATTCCCCCGATACAACAAAAAATGACGGTACTTATTAACCCTCGCTGCGCAGTACTTATTAACCCAGGCACGGACTCGCAAGGGCAAGGCAGCAAGCAATAAGTTTCTCTCTGTAGTCTCCGTCTTCGTATACTCTGCGATGGAGAAGCCCAACGAAAAGGCTGTGGAATAGTACTGGTCACTATTGTCCCCTAGTTGGGTTGTTTGAGATTCTATTATGGTCACTATTGTCACCTAGTTGAGTTTTTTGAGATTCTGTTAGTACTGGTCACTATTGTCACCTAGTTGAGTTGTTTTAGATTCTGTTAGTACTGGTCACTATTGTCACCTAGTTTATTTGTTTGAGATTCTGTTAGTACTGGTCACTATTGTCACCTAGTTGAGTTGCTTGAGATTCTGTTTTATGTCATTGCATGTTTCATTTGTAGATGAGACATGACACATCTCTCTCCAAACTACGTACACACTTCTTTTTTCTCTGCAATGAAGTGTTTCAAGAAGGTTCGAGGTCTAAGCTTACTGTCCGGTGGGCAGGGTCCCAACCGAGTCGTGGAGCGTGTGGGCAAGGTCAACTATGCTGTGCATATGCATGACCAGGAAACCACATAAAATATTCAAAGTCAAAATGTTGCGTTCATGGCACTCCCCAGTCTTGGCATTCGCAGTGAAACAAGTGGGTGGAGAGTGTGAGGAGGATCTCCCTTCATAGAAAGGAGGAACGATGCAACTAGGGTCCACCCTGAGTTAAGAACAACTCAAAGCTTGGTGATCTGTTGAAAAAATTTCAGTCCTAATTTACGGCATTACCTGGACAGACCACAATCCACATGGATGCGCACCCGATCCACACCCGATCCGCATATCACCTCCCCCATACATTAACACAAAGAGGTGAACCCGAGTTTTACCAGATGCTGGCTCATGGGATTATAGAGCACTCTCAGAGTGACTGGGCCTTCCCCCTCGTCCCGGTGAGAAACTTCACTGCGTCTCTGTGTTGATTATCATCCGCTAAATTGTCTTTCCCTTGTTGGTCGATATGCCATGCAATGTGTGGATGGTCCCATCGACAATGCGAGGAAGTCCCCCTTCATTACGATGCTATATCTAACAAAGGGTAATAACAAATGCCGGTAGGAGGCAGGTCTCCACAATACGAAAGAAAAAAATTTTGCGATGTCACAGTGCATCTACTTGGGACACAACATCGGCAGTGGTAAGTTCATCCAGAAGAAGCAAAAGTTCTCGCCACTGCAGGTACTCAAATAACTGAGAAAGGTGAGTTATGTATTATACAATAGTTTCTCTTGTTTTCAGCCATGACGCTGACTCGGCAAGCGTGCATGCAGCTCATCCACTGTACTACATCTATGAGGTCTGTGACATGGAATGCCAAATGCGACAAAAATGAAACCATGTTGAGACGTAATCGATCGCTGTCCTGTTGTAATAGTTTGTTTTCCGGCTACAACGGTGCGATTGCAATCGCTCATCGTTCGCACTTGTTCCCTAGAACTGTAGGTCATTATCAAAAGTGATTGGTGGCCGTAGTATTTTACCATCTGTCGTCTTTACAATCGTGCGTCGTCTTGGCGATGCGCACAAACTTTAGGACAGCAAACTCTCCAACATTCGTACAATTATAAACGCACCTGCGCTGCATCGGGACAAGGTGTGGTCTTAATGAGAGGTTTCTCGCTCATTACGAAGCAGCACCTCTCCCAGAAAAGAGAGTGAGTGCCTGCTAGATTTGTGGGCAACTATGTAGGCGAACCTGCTTCCGTTCTCTGGATGAACTTACTAATCTGAATCGTCCAAGACTCAACATTGGCCACTAACATCTGGTAGGTGCTGGGCCATACCCTCCAGGTCCAGGTACATCAACATGTTCTTCTTAAAGACTCCTCCTGTTTATGTATGCCACTGATGAGCACTGATATCCGAGTTTTCAGGAATGCTAATGTTGCATCATAGTTTTCAGGAATTCCGTAACTGCTAATTTTGCAGCAGGCAGTTTATGTCCATTTCTCCTTTTGTCTAGGACCATGCACCTCAAGATCTTTGGTTCTGAATGGCTGCTCTCCAACCTTTTAGGCAAGCACATGAATTCATTATCATGTCCACTTCCTTAAAGAGATTTCTCATTCCAAGTTTATCATGTGGGTGTCGACACTACATCAGTTTCTTGAAACCAGTGCCAGGAAAAGTCTATTACCAACAAATTCTAAACAAAGGTGGAGATGGAGGACAGACCCCAGTGATAAACCTGGAAACTGAACAGGATCAATACCTTGAAAGACATAGTCAATCTGAAGGGAAAAGTGGATAATAATTCGCAATCGCAATCTATCAATCTCACCATCAATGCTTACAGTTAAACCATCAGGGGAAATGCTATAAATAGAGAGGTTCAGTTTAGCACAAACTTTCAATAATTGCCGCGACTTCACGGCTGGGGTACATTCCAGCGCATCGTTGGGATATTTTTGTATGGCGCTCTACAGGAGTAACGGGCTTTTCTGAGCGTGCGCATTCCGCGCCCTGTCATCGGTCTTTACGACCACTCAGAGAGATGGGTGTACAACAGACAGCATACGTAAATAGATTTGGTTGAGTCTCAGGAACAAGGGTCGCAAGGACTTGGCCAAGACATTGGTGTACTTCTGGGTTTTGAAAGTTAACCAGTGTTAGAAAGTGACGCAATTCTTAGGCTTTGAGTGTACACACAGCCAAACGGAGTTGAAACTTACTCTTGACAGGGTAAAAAAGGCCCGTACTGAGTCATAGGCCATGATAGGTAACCAAATCTCAGGAAGAGCCCATTTTAACCTTCCAATTATTCTTGTGACCTTTGAGTCTTCTTGCCGCTGGAAGGCTGTGGACTACATTTGACACCCATCTTTTGAAACAGGGTGTTAAATGTAAAAATGTAGGCTTGAGTCCTCTTTTCCTCCTTGGTATGGTCTCTTTTCCAAACCTGTGGCCTGCCCCACTCCTCAATAAACTGAGACTGCATCACTTCGACTTGGTCCTTTCCTTTTCTCCAAACTTGGTAAAAACGCATAGTTTGACCTTCAAAAATACCACACAGGCCGATATACAAAGGGCTGTATTCAGTTCTCTACGCGAAAAGTTGCTCACATGCTATATCACGATTGTCCGGTCATTATCATCATCATCGATACTATCGATTTAAACCCGCTCTCAACCATTTGTTAAACTGATCTGATCAGTGAATGTCATCAGAATCCTGGGATGCATATCACTAAGATCATAGAGCTCTTAACTGAAAGCAAATGAAAAGCACTGAAGTGCAAACCCTCGGCGCACTGTGACGCGCACGCGTAAGTAAACGCATGCGCCGTACAACTAATTAATAGGCTGGGTTTAGTTTTAGCTGTTATTCGCGGTCTCTTGCCAGCTCGCGCAGAGTCTGACGCGGGCTAACTACACTACTAGATAGCATGCGAGATGTGATACACGCCCTGCGTTGCATCTTCTGGTGACTCCGAAGTACGCAGAGCACGACTGCGGTAAGCCATCCCGTCCGTTGCGTATTTGCATATTAGCTTTTTCGCGCTCTAGCTTTGCAACGGAGCATTTTCAGAGAAAACCGCCTTTATTTTCTGAACTTCGTCGCCTGTTGGTATCGTTTCTGGGACGAACAGACGTTCGAGGAGTGAGATGTAGAGTAACAGACAAACAAACAGACAAACAGACAAACAGACAGACCCAACTACTGTACCCTCGCTGCGCATGCGCGCCAAGGGTAATGAACATAACAATTTGCTGCAAACTTAGCACTCGCCATGGCGTTTACCTAATGTGAGCATGTATGCACAGTGCTTCCTGTGTGTGTTGGCGGGTTGATGGAACTCTTTTGGTAGTTAGGGTTGGGAGCATTCAATCAATACTTAAAGATGAGCTATGGTTTGTGGGACTCTAGCAAAGCACGAACTGCACGAAAATAAGTCTTCTACTACGTACGTAGCTTGACCAATATGTAAGCCTCACTACTAGCAAACCTAACCCTGTAATATCCATTGGGCAGTAGGTATGTACGTCCATAGAATACCCCCATTTCCTTTTAAGTACACTGAGTCAAACCACACTGCTTTAAACTATGTTGTTCAACTCTTTAGTGTCCCCGCCTACCACAAATTCGAGCATAAACATTCCATTAGCTAATCATTATATTGGGGCTTGCAACAAAACATGTGAAACAAGTGAAAATAAATAACGAGATATTTAGGGATGTCATGTCATTAAAAAAAGGGGGAACAACAAGAAACCCTCGCCAAAACGTACGTCATTCATAATCTCACCCTTTTAGTTGATGTATACATTTTCAGAGTAGTTTGTAGGGTATCATGAACAATATATCTATGGTGTGGATTTCAGTTACAATTTTACATCTTCAGTAAGTAAATATGAGGTGTATACACTAACCTCTCTTTCCTCTGCCTTGTAATAAAGTAGTTCCCCTTCACAGACTTTCAAATAACGCCTATATTTCCAATACATTACATGGTTGTTGTGAAAATTACCATCATACATCATTTAAGTACATACGTAAATACTAACTGGTGGTGGCAGAATCAATAGTTTAGGAATGTAAGGTAAGACAACAACAGAGAAAGGAACATACAAAATAAAAGAACACAAAAGCAACACACATTGCTCGAATTTGCTTATGAAATGAGTCATAGCTTCACATTATACGAGTTATGTGAAATGGATGATGGCTACATATTTCAAACTGGCATTGCTCCCTCATGCATTTCCACCACCGAAGCCCTATATTGTAACAAACTCGTATAATGTGAAGCTATGACTCATTAACCCTCGGCGCGCATGCGCAGCAAGGGTTACTGTAGTTGGGTCTGTCTGTCCGTGTGTCTGTTACTCTACATCTCACCTCTCAAATGTCTGTTCGTCCCAGAAACGATACCATGTACTCAACGGGCGACGAAGGTCAGAATATATGTGGAGTTTTCTCTGAAAATGCTCCGTTGCAGAGCTAGAGCGCTTCCAGCATTGTATGGCTAATGCCATTTTATCGCTGGCGGATAATGCGCATGCACTTATATTTAGCAAAGGCTTTTATACCTCGACCGGGTCCGCTTGCTCTGTCTATCTTGAAGGCACAAGAAGTCACAACAAATGGCGTGTATCGACTCTCGCGTGCTATCTGCTATTGTAGCTAGCCCGTGTCAGACTCTCTGCGAGCTACTTCGCTGAGGGTTTGCACTTTAGTGCTTTTCATTTCATAAGCAGTGAGACAGGTGGTCCATAGGTGGTGGCCTCCCTGATAGTGCTCAGTTTTGAGCCGCGACTACATTTTGTAGTCTATGACCTCAATGTTCACTCAACTAACATCATAGATGTATGGGTATGACAATAGGTATATACCATGCCCATTCCTACAAGTAAATAAAAAATGCTGCGAATTTTCAAATTAATTTACCTGTCTCCACTCATTTTTATATACTACTACGTATAATTATATCTGTGAAAGGGGACAAGCCCCCTAAAATAATTATTAATAGAGAAAGAGGCTGTTATTGTCATGGAAATGATGTAATACACATGCATACTAAGTTTTATCTCCATATTTGCTGCCGTTAGCAACTTTGAGGAGTGAGGAAGTAAATGGCTGAGGCTATTTGTTGTTGTTCAAATAATGTGGTTGTCATAAAAACGATGTCATACGCATTGTAACCAAGTTTCATCTTCATGAGTGCTGCCATTAGCAAGTCTGAGGAGAAGTGTCTGAGGCTATTTGAACAATATGTAATGTTCATAGAAACATGTAGTTGTCATGGTAATACACATGTGTACCAAGTTTCATTTCCATGCGAGCTACCTTTAGCGAGTTTGAAAAGTGAAGAAGTAATTTTTAAGAAAATTGCCTGAGGCTATGTGGTTGTTTAAACAGAGTGGTTGTCATGGAAATGATGTTCCACGTATGCGTACCAAGTTACACCTCCATCTGTGGTACCGTTAGCGAGTTTGAGGAGTGAAGAAGTAATTATAAAGAAAAAGTTGCTGAGACTTTTTGTTGTTGTGGTCGTCATGGAAATGATGTAAACAACGTACGCACCAAGTGTCACCTCCATGCGTGCTACAGTTGAGGAGTGAAGAAGCAAATTAAAAGAAAAATGCCTGACGCTATTTGTTGTTGTGGTTGTCATGGAAACAATGTAATACACATGTGCACCAAGTTTTACCTCCATGTGTATAACAGTTAGCAAGTTGGACTAGTGAAGAAGCAGTTTTAAAGAAAATTGCTTGAGGCTATTTGTTATTGTTTACAAACCTGTATTGTTGTGATTTTGATGTTGGCTATTGAATACATCGTATATACAAAGTTTCGTTTACATCGCTCTTACCATTTGTGAGTTATGCGATCCCATTATAATGTATCACCTGGGGCTATTTGTTGTTGTCTACAGTAAACAATGTTGTTTACAAACAAATAAGTATGACCAGTCTCTTCAGGTGACGGATATCTTCATTCTTACAAAATTTCATTACTATATGTTATTCCTTTTTTGAGTTACGTAAGCCTGTAATTTCTGTTTCGATGAACTCTCATCATGGTAAATCAGTGTACCAAGTTTCATTGTTAGAGGACCCACCATAAGCAAGTTATTAGGCAATAATATAGTTTACAAGTTTTTATTGTCTGAGGCTGTTTGTTGTTGTTTACAAGCTTGTAATTTCTGCTTCGATGAACTCTCATCATGGTAAATCAGTGTACCAAGTTTCATTGTTAGAGGACCCACCATAAGCAAGTTATAGGCAATAATATAGTTTACAAGTTTTTATTGTCTGAGGCTGTTTGTTGTTGTTTACAAGCTTGTAATTTCTGCTTCGATGAACTCTCATCATGGGACATCAGTGTACCAAGTTAAATTATTAGAGGACCCACCATAAGCAAGTTATAGGCACAAAACATTTTATAAGTTTTTTTATTGCCTGTTGTTTACAAACTTGTAATGTTTACATTTTGATACTACTGATGGGTTGCATCTGTGTACAAAGTGTTAAGATTCTGGGTATTTCCTCTACCTAGTTAGCACACTTTATTGGTCTATATCATAATGTGTGGCCATGGCCTATTTTTTGTTTTTTTGTTGGTTACAAAAATTAAAACGCTCTTGCACGCCGGGTCACAGATTCCAATCTTTGTGCAAAGTTCATCTCCATATCTTAAGTGGTTTTTGAGATACGTACGTGTGTCTAAACTGAACAACAACAACAACAACAAGAAATTTGAAAACTTTGTGACGATACGGATCAGTTTGATGTGTAAAAAGTTAGTGAAACATGAAAAATCTCAAATTTATAGGAATAATGCAGGCCAACCTGTGTCATTCCTATATACGAAGTACTACCGTACTTAGTGATAATGTGTTCACGTATGTCAGTGTAACTCACAAATGGTAAGAGCTATGTGAACGAAGCAACAAAGTTGCCGCGTGTCCGGCCTGCTTTACACAATTTCCATGACAAATACAAGTTTTAATCAAAAAGCACTAAAAGTGAAAACCCTCGGCGCATGCGTGGTACCGCTAATTGATGGGGCTGGGTTATATCAGTATGCGTTTACTCGTGGTTTCCCGCTAGTAGCTCACGGAGAGTCTGAAACGGACTAGCTGCAGCAGTAGAAAGCATGAGGGAGTTGATACACGCACTTCGTTGTGCCTTAGACGATACAAGAGCAAGCTGACTGTGGTAAGCCTGATCTAATTAGCAATTGGCTTTTTCGCTCGTGTTTCACACCGTAACTCCTGAACGCAGCAGTTACAGAGAACACCCTACATGTTTTTTTACCTTTATCCGACGCTGAATAGGTGGTATTGTTTGTGGAGCGATTGATGGCTCGTTCGAGATGGTTGGGAGACTGACAGACAGAAAGACAGACACACACGACAACTACAGAAACTCACTGCACGTGCGCGCCGAGGGAATATTTCTTTAAAATCGCTCCTTTACTCCTCAAACATGCTAGCGGTGAAACTGCACACATGCGTCTTACATCACACAAAATGGCGTCAGGCACTTCTCCTCAAACTTGCTAACGGTATCACGCATGGAGATAAAACTTGCATTTTACATCATTTCCATGAAAACTACGTATCTCCATGACAACCCATACTATAATGAGACATGGCCTTTTTCTTTAAAATTACTTCTTCACTCGTCATACTTGGTAATGAGAGATTAAACTTGGTACGCATGAGTATTACATCGTTTATTTGTAGTAGTTATTACACCTTTTGGAGTGCTGTTGCTGGTTTACAAGCCCGACGTCCCGAGGGCGCGTAAGCGCCCGAGGGCGAGGCCTTGTAAATCGCAACAGCACGACAAAAGGTGTAATAATCAGTTTATTGATAGTTGCTAGGTGCTATGACGTCAATTGCCGGCGCATACGCGTGCATTTTTGTGGTTTCGCGTCTTCTGCCGTGCTTTCTCGTGTGCGGAGCTCCCACTGGCGTTTCTCCTTGCTTTGAGCTCTGTTGCAAGTCATGGCAAAGAGGTCTCGAAGCCCTCTTCGCGTAAGTGTCGAAGGGTGAACTTCAGAAAGCGAGGCTGAGGACGATGATCAATCCCGCACGGGCAAGAAGCTGAGGTTGAGTCTGGCATTAGGGAAGTAAGTAGAGCCCATGAGTCAAGAGTACAGTGAGTGATTTAGCGGTGCTAAAGTTAAGACGCTGGAAAAGAAGTTCGTTCTATGATGCACTTTAAGCGCAGTGCTTATATCAGATATAAGCACTAACCACGGTGCATATTGTCACCTTAACACCTCGTTGGTGCATTAGCTGATTTATAGTAGCACAATAAACATAGTAACCACCTAGCAACGGTCAATAAGGTTGTTTAAACAACAACATATAGAGCTTCAGGCATCTACTAATTCACTCCTAAAACTTACTAACGGTGGAGATGAAACTTGTTACATATGCGTACTACATCATTTCTATGATGACAACAGGCGTTTTTCTCTATTACTAATTTTTATAGGGAGTATGACCCCCCTTCCACAGAGATGTACGTACATAGTAGTATATAAAAATGAGTGGAGACAAGTAAATAAAAAATCCTGCGAATTGAAAAAAGAGGCATATAAAACGAAGAAAACAGATTTGTGAACGCTGACCCAATCACACAATCCCAATAATGTTGCCTCGGTGAAGTATTAAACAGTCAACATTACAATAGTCTTGACTTACAGCTTGAAAAGTTATGCTACTGAGTAACCAACACCGTTACCATAAGCTTGAAAAGTCATGCTACTGAGTAACCAAGAGTCCAAATGGAGTTTACGAGTGCCACACCAGGCAACAATATCACTAGTACTTAGCATACAGGGATGACACAGGTTGTCCTGCATTATGCCCATACATTTGAGATTTGTACGTTTCAATAAGATCTTGTAGTTGTTGTTTCAACAAGCGTATCTCAAAAACCAGGTAATAATAATATGAAGATGAAACTTTC